CATATTTGGTTTAGTTTATTTCTTGTTCCTGCTAAAGAAACAGTTATTTTTGAACCTCTGGTATAGCATCTTTTTGACAATTGCTGATGTAGGAGAGTACCTGCAAAAGACACTCTGATGGTAAATTCATGATTTAGTTCTGAGCAATAAATGTTATTAAATAATGGAAAGTCAACCTCTACCTGTATTTCTTACCTTCCTTTTATAGGTATTTTATTGGGCTGATAGGCCTGTTGAGTCAGCCTTTATACTGTGGCCCATTGTTCTGGTTTAAATAATACTTTGATTATTACCTTAAATTGGGTTATTTACCTTTTAATCCTGACGAAGGATACCCGGCTTAGTATGCCGAATAGGTACTTGGTTTCTTTTTCTTATAGGTGGGACCGAGTTAATTCCTTATTCAGTACATTTCTAACAATAAATTTTGTTGTTAATTTCTAAAAGGGGATTTTAAAAGAAAAATGATTATTTCCCTTAAAATAATATAATCCAAACATGCACGTATGGTTAAGTGCTGCTTGTAATTTGGTTTTCGTATTAGTAAGCATCTGTTTGTTTTTTTAGCTTGTTGTAAGAACACAAGGCATTACTCATTGAAGAAAAGGCAAAAATTTTGCCTGCTATTTGTCGCGTTTCTGATTTGTGCAATTTAAATATTAGGATTTATTTAGTTAAAGAAAACATTTTTTATTTTCATAAATAATTACAAATTTATCACATTTTTTCATTTTATTTCCTTCTTTCAAATATTTATACCAGAAATAGTAAAGTCAAATATTTAAAAATAAGGTAGAAATGAAATATTATTTTCACACTTTCTTGTATAAATCTAAAAAAAAAATGCAAAATGGTAGTTTATACAAACAAAAAAATTAGAAAGTATTTCAAAAGCTAAACAAGCATACCCATTTTGTATGGCCATATGGATTTTCAACTATTCATTTATTTTTTCATGTGAATTTAACTCAAACAAATGTTTTGGGAAAAACAAAATTTCATGTTTTTCACAAAATTTAAGAGTCATCTTCTAGACAGTGTGTCGGGTTTGAACGAAGTATCAATGCAAATTAGAACATAGACTCCTTCAGTTCAAGTAGGTAAGAGTAATCAATGAAATGGTATCGCCATTTTAAATGCTGTGTATCTGAACGATGTAACATATGTCAACGTGAGAAGTGCAAGCTTAGTTAAAAATTAAGAATAAAATTTTATTAAAAAATATTTATTATATTTTTATAATTTTAATATAGTAACTATAATTTTTTTTTATTTGTGAATACTTAATCTCAGCTTTTATACAAAATTCAAAATTTAATAGTATATTAAAATGATTAATCTAGCAGCTTTTTTTTTTCACATTATTGATCAATGCATATAAAATTGTTCTTAAAATTGTGTATTCATTACCCAAAGGATACATCTTTTCTACAAAAGTTTAAAATTTTAATTAGGCCATGATAACTTTTGACATTATTATCTAATATCTTTTTATCAATATGATATTATATAATGAGCTAAATAAAGTAGAAGTAGGAGTAGTATATTAGTAGTAATTTGTTATAAATCATTTTATCCTAAAGGAATCTTCAACTAACCCGGTGCATGTTAGTTAGTGATGTTCTATTTTATGGAAATGTCCAAGTCTAAGCCAATAAAGTGCACTCTTTTTTACTGATAAAAAATTATCATTATAAATAATTATTATGGAAATGTCCAAGTCTAAGCCAATAAAAGCCAATAACTTGGTTTTCAAAAACTTATTAAAAAAAGATAAACAAGGGAATGCGACATATGCGTGGATAAGGTCAAAATTTGCGACTGCCACTTGATTTGGGTATTAGAGCTTTGACAAGGTCAAAATAAACACTGCTCAATCTCATGCGGTTTCTTGGGCCATGGCCCGTCTCATTAACTCCTCCAACACATAAAACCTGTAATTTTTGTCCCTCCCATGATAGCTTAGCTTAGTAAGGTAGAGTGATATTTATCCAAAGAAATAGGGTTCAATTTTTGTTATATGTAAAACTCGAATTTTCTTCTCCTAATTTGCATCTAATTTGTGACCAAAAACAAAAAACTTATAGTTTTACCGTTTCTTTCTAGGATAAACTTAACTCTATTTTATTTTTCAATTCTTTAGGTTGAATCGTTAAAAATTAATATTTTATATTGTTTGACCTTAACATGGGAAAGTTTGAATTACCATCTGCTGAAAGAGTCTTGCAATACTTTCGTTAAATTAACTATAGTGATGGTTTTTCTTTTTTGGTAAATTTTTGTTCATTTATCAAACCACTGCACTAACTAGTGAAGTCAACAAGACATAATACTAATTTTGGCATGACAATTAAGCCAATACCTATAGTCCGGTCACTGAAAAAGAGACAACTATGTATAAAAAAAATATTGCAATTCTTGAATTTTGAAAAGTTACCGTGATCAAGTCACAGATTGAAGTACTCAGCAGAGCATTCAGCAAGAGAATTGATTTTCATGACAAACATTAAATAAACGCTAGTTAAGCTAATAATACTACTTGGATTATTCATTATGTGATTTAAATATAAGTAACATTGCTTAAAGTAATATGTACCTCAGATAAAAATTGCATGTTTGAGCAAAACTTCCTTTATCCAATACCGTGTCTGCGTGTGAAAGTGAACATGTGATACGTACCAGTTAAGGAATTAGCACGAATTTTCTTCTTCATTATCTCTCTCCTTTTGTCAAACAAGTTACACACAGAAGACACGAGGAGATGACCAGTAGACCCACTTACTTCCTCTAATACAATTTGTAGTATCTGATAATTATATTTTGCTTGTTACTTTTTATAATATTCGACACTGCTTTTGTTGAATAATTAAATAAAATATAAGCCTTCAAACTTATGTTTTTAAACTTTTTATTTCTCAAATAAAAAACTATTAAGAAATAATGCAACAACATAACCCCTTTATTTGTACTTTAGGAAAAGAAAGGGGAGGGAAAAGTATACATATATTGAAGAAAAGGGAAAGTAGCACAGCATTGGATGGACAGTATATGGAGTGTCCATGAAACATCCGAAAAGGCTTAAAGTTGATGGAAACAAACAAACTAATGGTCACATGGGAAGAGGATGTGGGGACTGTTTCTGATTTGGTTGGCTTCAAGTCATGCTCACATCATGGCCCAAAGATGAATGTGGGTCTCCTTCATTCTCCCTTGCCTCCTTCATTTTTAGTTGATCTCATCCAATTTCAACCTTTGTCTCACAACTAACTCTTAAACACTTGGAATTCCAACATTGGTATATATACAAGACTGTTCATCCATAATTGAGGAATTATATTACTTGAATTAAAAATAACTCATTTATGGTTTTAATCTAGATACTGAATAATAACATTTTGAATTCGAGTCAAATTCACTCAAGCTTGAATCCATTTCAATACTACAACTTTCATGTTAAAACGTATTTAACGTGATCTTCTTGAGTTTTCACACAGTCACTTTGCAGTTGAACTGTTAAATCTGAAATTTGTGAGTTTATTTTCAGTACACTAGCACTGTTTCTTAAATGAATGTTAATCTTTTTACATAGAATAAAAGGGCAACTATAACATGGTGGATGTGTATCAATCACTGCTAATCAGTTTCCCTTCATTGAAATAGCCAGAGTAGGACATTGATTTTAAAAAAATTGGAGAAAGGACGCATTTACTCCAAGTTGGATGAAATATTTTTTGAGAGACACATCAGATTGTCATGAGGTAGTCCATTTTTCGGTAGCATGGTAGGGTATGCCATCTTTCGGAATGGCATAGATGTTGTTACATACGCTACGGAGAAAGCTTTGTTTGTTTAGTGGTGACACGTCTCTCATGCAATACTTCATCACTGAAAAGTGAAAATAGCTTCAATTAAATTGCATGGAGAAGTACACACTCTCCATTTGGGTTGCCTGGAATCATTAAAGAATAGGCTAGAAGTCTAAGATAGTACTCACTTTAACCAAATTTAAGTATAAGTAATCAAACATTGATTATTTATTCAATTAATAAGTAATTTATTGTTTTTTTGGTACTTAAAAGTTGTAGGTAAGAGGAGATCATCTCCTAATTTCAAGTTCAGAGCAAACGATCAACTTCAGCTATAATTTGCAATTGAACATCATCCATTAGGGGCAAAGTAAAATGAATTGTTGCCCAATAACCAGAGGTTGATATGCGAGTGTTTGAACATATTCCCTAACTACATCAGCATATACTCTCTAACTAGCTGGGGATTTTGCGGAGAACAAGAGAACCTAGCCAGGAGTGCTTTTTGGATATCTCTACACATGATAAACAACAAGATGAGGTTTAGACGAAAAAATTTCTTCAGCTTGTTTATTCATATGTGATACGTTGCCTAGAAATGGTGTGGTAAAGTACTCGGCCAACGGTAATATTAAAGAAAACTTGTGTGTGTGAATGACAAATTAAAATTACACTCAGAAGCCAGGATCGAAGGTCACAATCGACAGGTGAAGGCTCCCCCCGGATTTAGCTTAAAATTCTCTAAAGTGAATGAAGTATAAAGTGAAAAAGTACAAATTTAATTACCATTAATTTGAAACTAGTAATATTTATAAACTACTTCAATTCAAATTAAGAATAAATAAATTCTTACTTTTTTACGTTCGGCATCTCCTCAAATTGCCAAATAGCAAATACCAATTGTAAGGACGTCATGCATTCTCACGCTTTCTGTTACAAATTATCCGTTAAGCTTCTACTCGTATAGCTATTAAAACAGAGTTTTGTTTGCCATTTTAAAGGGAAAAATTCTCACGCTAGAAAATTTTGTAAAAGAAATTGTCTCACGAAGTGTTTTACAACCAAACCTTCGTTCCAAGTTGTATCAAATCATAAAATAAATGCATTTAGTTCCATCCTTTGGACATCGCTGGTTTTGTCTAGAATTTTGAAACAAGAGTAGTGATAGGCAAAAATGCAAGTTTTTTGGTTCTGAGGAGCTAAATTTATGGTGGAAAGATTGATAAAACATAAAAAGGTTTGACAAAGTTCACTACTCTGCAAATTCAAGTTATTCAACATTTTGGCCTTCTACTCGTGATAAGCCTCACTAGCATGATAAATATAACTTAAAATGGAAAAATAATTTTAAATAAAAAAATAAAGAACCCCACAAAAAGGAAAAAGGAAAATGTAAAAGTAGCTTCTTTCACTAGGATGAGTACCCAGATCCAAATTTGGTCTCGACTACGAGGCATATAACTTTGAGAGCTCTTCTTGAAAAGTCTTTCTAATGACATCTCTCTTGATCTTAAGAGCTGCAGTGACTAAGCCAGATTCTGGAGTCCATGGATCAGAAAGCAGCTTAATTTTTGCAGGAATCTCAAATTTTTCCAAACGAGCCTTCTTTGCTTCCTGCCAATGATTTCATAAAGTTATGGTAATAAGAAAAGGAATGATATTATATCATTTCATCTGCAACAATAAAGGGCATGAATATGTCGTATGTTGTACTCTTAAAACTATTTGACAGGAGATCCCCTTTTTATTTGGGAATCCGATTGAAAAAAAAAATGACACAACTAAACGAAGCATCCTTCGCCATTGTGTTAGGTTATAAAAGCTATATTTTTGACATATGTGCAGATAGTTACATACTATTATATTTTAGTCTAGTATGAAGGATAACATACTAATTGAAAAATCAGTTTCATTGTCCAAATAAACATGATTTCAATTTTTAAACCTTCTCACTGGGATAAAATAACAACAGTCAAGTCTTATCACAATAGGTAAAGTCGGTAACATGAATTACACAATGTATGACATTGAAGTTATTCAAAAACTAAATTTATGATCACTGTTGCCTAGAAGACGGTGAAAAATTACCTTCGATATTGTTTCATAACTGATAATAAAATGGAAGTGAGCAAAATTTGTCGGGTGAAATACAAATGAGTAAGTCTTAAACTCCATCGTTAGTCATTCCATATCATCATTCCAACTTTTCCTTCTACCCTATTTTGCAACTGCTCAAACAAGCATATTCTAGGACAATATTTGGGGAAGAACTGGTGTTAAGCTCAAAAGCTGATTCAGTTAAAGTTAAGTTTAGATTTTACTGTTAACTCAGACAAATATACTTTCTGAAAAGTGAATTTTCTTCTAAAATATTACAATTAATACGTAAAAGGACTTCTATACAAAAGGCATACCTTTGAAAGCGATGCATAGACCTCCTTCACACTTTCTTCTTTCCCGCACAGTTCTGAAAGATCAGAATAAGAAATTCCTTGCTCTGAAGCCCATTGCTCCAATGTGGGATGAGAAACCGCCACGAGTGCCACACAGTAGCTATGAAAAGGATCAGCATGCAACATAATATTATCCACGAAGGGACTGACAAGAAGAGCTGCCTCAACCTGTACTTAAAGAATTAGTCTTCAAATATTGAATGGTGCATTCCACGAACCAATATTCATACCTTTCCCAAAGACACATATTCTCCATGCTGTAGTTTAACTATGTCCTTCTTCCGATCAATGATCTCAAGGCAACCATCTTTATGAAATCTCCCTATATCACCAGTGTAGAACCACCTCATTCCTCTTTCATCAACCTTTACAACGAAAGAAAAGTAAATATATGCAACTAAAGAAAAGACAGCAAATCACAAATTTCAGCATGACTATGCAGAGTTGTCAAGGACCAGTCCTCTAAAAGCTTGTTACATGAAGATTCACAAATGGTTATATATTTAACTCATCTCCTCCCAGCGCTTGGGGCTGAAACCATGGATAATGTTCAGGCCCAACTACTTGAGCAGAATATTGTCCTTCATTTTGAAGCATGGAGGCAGTGAGGATCAAACACCTAACCACTTGGTCATATAGGCTTTGATCCTATCTTAAAGATGAACTCTACTAAATGCTTAAGCTGTTAGGTGAAAGTTCATGAATGGTTTATGTCTGGGAAGAAATATCACTAACAAAGGTGGAAAATCGTAAGTTATCCCCCACAGGAAAAAGAAAAATACCTTGTAAGATTCTTTTGTCTTTTCTTCATTTTTGAAGTACCCCAGAGTGACATTTGGACCACCAACTACAATTTCACCACGAGGCATCGGTGAGTCATTAGTTGAATATCCACCTTCAGGCCAATCAATTAGCTGAGCCAGGAATACCAAATAATGGCATAAGAAATATAATTCTGAATGCAGAAAGAGAAATTAAACCACCACTATAACATAAATATAGTAGAACTCATGACTTGATCTTGAAGCCTCACTTCCACTGCACTGTCATACAAGGATGCAAGACAACAATAATGGTTTCATAGCAAGCAAGAATGCTAAAGAATCACAAAGAAGAGGATAAAGATAGATGTCTCTAGCCGTTTCTATTTATTTTATTCACTTGTAAAATATAACCAGAAAGATTTCAAAAGACTTACATGAAATCAGGAAGCATAAATATCTGACAAATTGTAAGAATAGGATTAGATTAATGGTGATAATTGGTACATAGAAAATGATTTAAAAAATCACCATTTATACAAAGATAACATTAGGAGATATGACCTGAATAAAAGAAAACTTGAGCATCGACAAAGTCCATACAAATTCTAAAATAGCCAGGAAGTTTGGCAAAACACAATTTATGATATTTGCTAAAGATGGCATGTTACAGCAAAATACAGAACAATATCAAATGGATAGCACACACATGGTGAGTAAATAAGATTTGGGTTGAGATTAGATGGCTATGCTTAGTTAGTCAGCTTGTCTCAGTTGTTTGCTAATTATTATTGTTGTGGTGCCACTTTGAGGATATCTTATTCTTATTCTTATCCTTAGTTCTTGCACTTCTTTCTATGTTGTCACCTTCTCTCATGGTTGAGTCAATTCTTTGGATTGTACACCAAAGTCCCTTGTGTTATCCCAAATAGGTGATGATCAAAATATAAGAGAATTGCAAATAGATGCGTCAGTTGAAAATGCCCCAAACTGTTAGAAACAAGAATAAATTTTGGATATGTATGAGAATACACATAACCGAGTTATAATAAATAATTTAGGGATCTAAACTAGGCATCCATTATTAATACAACCAGCTACTTTGAAAGCCTAAATCATAAAGAGAACACTACATTAAAAAAAGGTCAATAAGGTGTATGTAATGGAATATCATAAATAGGAAAGCAGATTAACTGTACTTATGATTCGAAACATTATGAAGTGTAGGGGGTAACTGTTCCAAAGCTACTTAAGAACTATGATTCCATTAAACAATAGTATAATGAAATTTTCAAAAATAAAATAAAAAATAGCATAAATGTATGGAGGTGGATTACATCTGATCAATGACTACCTTAATATATGAGCAAGGAAGAGGTGGTCCAACACGACCCACAGATATATCATCAAAATCAGAGAATGTCCCACCAGCACAAGTCTCTGTGAGACCGTATCCTTGACCTATTGGAGCACTGCAAATGACAACCAACTATAAATGTGACAGAAAAAGATAATACCGGAAATCTGATAAGTAAAATAAAAAAATAAGTACATGATAAAGCTAGATATAGGATTTCAATTTTCCAAGAGAAAAAAAAGCAAACCCATATAAAGCGAGAATTACTGTTAATGCCAACTATCAAGCCCAATTGCTTAGTTAATCTGTGTTTCTAGTTTACTCTGAACTTCTGCATTGTTGACTGATTAACTACTTTTTTTTGTTTCTTAAGGAGAATATCTTATCTCTGCTATTAAGTGTCTGTGTCACTTCTTTTCTTCTGTTATGATGTTTCCACTTTTATTTGCACAAAAAAAGAAAGTTGATGATACGACACTGACCCAAGACAAATATTGATGAATCTTTGGGTATCACTAGAAAGGGGAGCACCGCCAGACAGTATAAATCGGATGCGACCACCCAGAATTGCTTGGACCTTTTTGAACACAAGAAAATGCCATAGAGCTTTTTCCAAGCCCCAAGCACCAAACCAGCTACCATTAATTGCACTCAACCTTCGAGCATAGCCTAAATCAAACAATTTCTTTGATAATCCTCCCTTTGCATTTACCTGCACAATCAGGGTTTAGTCCTACTACACTGACTATATACCCAAACAAGCTCACTAACACAGAGATTGATGCATAATATTAATATGTGGGTGTGTGTTCTTTAATTGCATCACAAATCAAATACCTTCTTGAGCACTCCATCACGTACACGATCAAGAATTGCTGGTACAGCTGCCATCACAGTTGGCATCAATGCTGTGGCGTCCCCTTTTTTTCCCTTTTTTATCTTGTTTGATGAATCAGTTAGAGTCAAAGGAGTTCCATATCCTATACAACCTCCAACAGCTGCAAGCAAATTCTAAAACAAGTAGTTGAGTTTGTCAATACATGCAAGAAAACAGAGGAAATGCACTTTAAACTGAAATATTTATTCAATCCCCTCACTAAAGTATAAACCCACACCTCAGCTACTAATTCAAGGATATGAGCCATTGGCAAGTATGCTAGGTAGACATCCTTCGGCCCAAGATTTGGAACTATTGTCATTACAGCAGAGACTGTTGCCAAGACATTGCCATGTGTCATCATCACACCCTGTGCAAAAGAAAGAAAATCAAGAAATAATACAACTAAAAAGAATAGTAAGAGAAAAGGATACAAATAAGTAAATTAAAAAACACAGTCCCATATAGAGTCCAGAGTATCAAGGAAAGTCAATCAAGTAAAATGCTAGAAAAGTTGAAATTGGAAGAACACAGTATCTCAAAGATGTTTTTAACCTTAGGCAATCCAGTACTTCCACTCGTGTACATTATAACTGCAACATCCGCTGAAAGGGGTAAATCAGCCTCAACAGGGTTTTCTCTACCAAGCCTCTCAACGTCAGCAAAGGACGTGATTGTCCAGCCATGCTGAGCAGATGAAGCATCGGATGGGACATCCACAGCCGTGCATATCACACGTTTCACTGAGTCAAGTTGTCCACTAATATGTATTAGTGATCCCAATTCTTTGCGCCCACAAATCACAGTTGTAACCTCTGTCTGGCACCAGACTTTAAACGTGAGGTAACCAACAAATATAGAAACAGCACATAAACTAAAATGATGGAAAAGAAGCAAAACAATTTCAACAAACTGTTTCAAACCATAAATAAAGTGCAGAAAGTAAATCACAGTAGGGGGCACAACCTACAGCTAAATTAACAATTACATGAAACAGTGTGAATTCTTGTCCATTAAATAAAGGAAAATGATGTTAAGGTTAAAATCAAGAGTTTTTTCGTGAGATATCTTAAGCATTGAGCACTCAAGCACCCCTCTACAGGCTTCCCATCCCACCTCTTCTTTTCACCTCTCCTCACCCCATCCCATCCCATCCCATCTATTATTCTGTTGTTAGTTGCTACAAAACATAATAAACAATATCACTGTTTCTTCCCCCACATTACTACTACTGCTGTAAGTAATACTGTAGTACATTTTAATAAAGCTCAATTTAGAAAAAACATCAAAAGAAAATGATAGCTTTAGAATTTTAATTTCTCCTCCTTTCTCTTTTTTTCACCACACTAGGAGTATGAATATACCTTGTTCAATTTTTAAAAATTAGTAGCACTGAACAGCCAAGATAGCAAAATACAACAGTCAGTAACACTTCGCAATCTATAACAAGTGACAAAAACAGATAGCGAAAACCTCATTCAACGAGTGACACAAAGCTTCCTCTCCCAACGACGCGTAAATAGTCACAACCGTCACATTTCTCCTGAAGCAACCCTAAAGAAACAAAAACACGAGTAAGAAAAAAAAAACATAAAATTGAAGGAAATTAAGTTCGAAGCATAAAGACAAACACCTGCAATGCAATAAACCATTGTTCCCCGGTCTCAGCAAAGATAGCTGCACGCTCTTCCCTGGGATGACCCAGCGATGCTAAACCAGAAGCGAAACTACACACAGATTCAAACACTTTTCCATAGGTGAGCCAGTGGTAATCTCCGAGATGAAGCTTCTCGAAGGTTCTTCCATCCTGAGAGGTCTCAACATCACGCGCGATCAACTCGCGCGTCCCGAGCAACAACCTATCATGATGCTCCCTGCATGCACGCTCGAACAGCTCCGCCAGAGTCGTCACTCCATCCCAAGCCGAACTCATAACCGAACCGAACCGGTGGTTCCGAACCGCAAAGCCGGGCTCACCGCCGACGTCGGCGGGCAAGCCGCGGCGCTTGCGGTTGTTGGAATTGCGGAAGAGGAGTACGAGGAGAGGAACCACGAAGCCAACAATGTAGGGGTTCATCCTTGATCCAAAAGGGTCAATTCAAAGCAACGTGATATTGTTTTACTTTAAGTAACAATCGGAGAAAACAATGACACGGTTATGATGTTTTCGAAACTCAAAGGAACAGTGTACGAGGTGAGTGTTTTGAGTTTGTGATTTGGAGGAAAAGAGGGTATTATGAATGAGTTGGCATTGGGATCAAAGCAGTGAAGGGAAGAAGAAAAATAAAGTGTGAAACGCAGAAGTGAGAAGTGCTGCGATGGCGAGTGCAGTGGGCGGAGAGAACAAAGGGAAGCAAGGGAATGAGGTTTTTTGGAATTTTAGAATCTGAATATTTTTGTCTTTCCTCAGTAATAACTATTCATTAACTTTTAAGCATGTATTTTTGTTTTGTTATAGTTTATGTTTGATTGTGACTTTATTTGATTTTCACATCATTGTTTGTAATCATCCTAACAGCGTGTCAAATTTACTTTAACCTGTAAAATTTTTCTGATAACGTATAAAGGTTGCACGATATACAAAATTATATATACTAATATTAATATATAAGTAAATATATTAATATTATTAACTTTATAATTGAAAAGCGCGCTTAATTGGTGGTGATTTGTTAACTTTGTTTTCTTTCTTTGCATAATTGTACACGGCTTTAAGAATAATGAAATTGTGCTGTAGAATATCATTTTGAGGTGACACTTGTTGGCTTGATCAATTGAAAAAGAAACAACTAAAAGTTTTGACGAATTAAGCTGGGCAACTTGTGAGTTGTTACAACATTGGATCAGTTTTGACAGATTCCAGGCCCCTGATATGGGTTGTATTTTTAAGAATGCAGGCCCAAACTGGAGGCGCTTTTTCATCCCAAAAATATCATAAGCCCTTTCTATAAGGAATTAGGAATGAACAAACATTATGTTTACAAACTTATATTAACACATTGTTCATAAAATAAATTGTATTTATGTCTCTTAATTAAGCATTAGTGCAATCTACACTGACACACATCTAATAGAGTTACAAATTTTAAAAGACACCTCGTATGAGAATGGTGATGTTGTTGGAGGTATAATTAGGAAGTTATTATTAGTTTGAAGATAGTTTGCATTTTATTAGGATTGGTTATTAATTAATTGGATTTTAGATTGTATATCAGACTTTATAATATTTGAATGGAAGAATGTGTATAAATAATAAATTTTATTGTATAAAATATTTTAAAAATATAATACAACACACTGTAAACGCATTGATTACATATTGATCTATGAAAAATATTAACGAATTATTCAGATGGATTTTTGTTATTATTATTTTTGTATATGAGTCACTTGGGCCCAAAACGTTAGATGGTTCTTTGTTAAACGAGTAATGGATGACTTAATTTTTTAAATATATTTTTAACAAATCACAAATTAATTAATAATTTATTTTTATTTATATTTTATAATTAAATTCAAGCACACACATTACTTTGATTAAAAAGAAAAAACCATCGCACCAATTAGCAGATGAAAATTATAGTAAAGCAATGCATCCAAAAAGTAAGAAAACGATCTCATGGTGGGTTGGTATGGTGGTACAGTGGATGAAGCTACATGCTATCGGTATGGATGGTTGAATGAAGTTATTGTTATGCTTATGAAGTTAATAAAGCTATGTTTATGAACTTTTTTATTGTTTTGATTTTGAACGTGTTTCTTCATTGTTGATTGGCCACCTTCTTTGATTTAGTCTGCAATTGAATGCAAATCTTTACCTTTTACGAGGTTCGACAGTAAAAGACGGTTAACAATATATTTTGTACACAATTTAAAATAATAAAAGGAATTTGATGTATATGCACACTTTTATAGACAATTTTTTTAAAACAAATTTTACATTTAAATTTAGTTGTTGACGATCGGAATTAATTATTGATGATACCCATAACAGTAGTATTAAATAATCAAAATACTAGGGCAATAGTAATGAAATGGTAATTATGGATGGTGGTAATAATAATAATAATAAAATTTCATTTTAATCATTCATGTTTTACTTTAAAAATTATATTAAAAAACTTACAAACACGCCGAATGAACCCTGTGCTGTCAATTTATAATTATGTTACTTTTCAATAAAATACTAATGCTAAATCTTTGAGATGTAAATAATCTAAGGTGCAATATTCTATATCTCTTGATCTTTTGGTACGTTTTGTCGATTTAAAAATTTAACATTTTATCACATTAGAGTGCTTTTTTTGTAAGTTATTATCTACAAACTTGATACTCTTACCAAATAATTATTTCTTTGAACATTTCGCATGTATTTGTAAATAGGGATCAAAGACAATCCAATTGGCAAATCAGACTAAATCTTATAATTCTTTAATTACAATATTGCGATGTTGATTCATTTGTGAATAACCAAATTAAGCGAGTTCATCAAATTAAATTGACTGTAATTTCCTGTACCCTCATTAATTTCTTAGCCCCACTCTGTTATTATTATTATTATACCTTAGGTGCATAAAAAAGCCAACGGTTCCATCATGCCTAGCACTACAATCTATTGCCACTGAGAATACGATAAAGGGTATGCAAAATATTGTGAGAAAAGCCAAAGGTTCCATCATGTCTTCGTTAAGGTTTCTAGAATGTCTTAACCTTGAAAAGGGCACAATTTTCATATTTTGTTTTATTAAAAGTGTATAACAATAGTTATACGATGCTTACAATTAATTACACTTTTTGGGGCCAGCATTTTTCTGTTCTACTTCATCTCAGATAATTTCTTCCCCACCTTCCACGCCATGCTGTTGTTATTGCAGACATTTTTAAGCTCGTCCATACTCAATGGTCTATCAACAATTAGCCCACCCCTAGTGGGCCAAACCATTGGGTATTGGCCAATGTTTTAGGCATAGCTAAGGCGTGTTAACTCTTCTTCTTTTCTTTGGTTTTTCAAAAATGGTGTTGCAAGTTTCGTCGCACCTTGCAGTCATGAGTTCAATTCCCTGTTGATTCACACAATTAATGCTTGCCCACAATTTTTTATTTTTCATACCCAATATTAAAATTCGCAAATGATCTCGTAGGTTGCATAAACAAATCACATGGATAGAATAATTCCAAAACTGTGTAAAGTCTCAATTGCTGCACTTTACTTTTGCCACACTTGTTGCTATAGCCCATTTATTGCTCAGTTTTTTAAGATGGCCGAGATATACTTTTGATTGTAATATATTCACGTATTTAACTTAACTTCAAATGTACCTTTTTAGAAATAAATGAGAAAATACTAATAAAGCCGTAAAGTTTTGGAGCTTGCAATAGACTTTGTACGATGAATAATTTAACTCAAACAAGAAAAAAGACTTTATTCACCTCTTGTATTGCCAATGAGACCCCGAGTATTCATTTTCGTCTTTTTTTTTTTTTCCTTTTTCTGATAATTATGTGATTCAATCTTTACATTGTGGCACATGTCATGTTTCAAAATTAAATCGATTAGAATTGTTTTAAATTTTATAACAAAAAAACATAACACGAGTAGCAATAGAAACACGAGGTAACTGTTTTGTCAAATACAAGAGGAACGGCCGTTGACGGAGACTTTCTGAATCGTTCCAAAAGGGACGCTTTGAATCCAGTGGCAGGCGTGGCAACTAGCAAAATGCTTCAAAGTTTGCTTCTTTATTTGCATAGTTTGGCCATTTGAATTATTAAAATTTTACACTGTACATGATATTACATGTTATTTGATTTTGTATATATACATATTTCACCTATTTTGTATTGGTGGCGGGTTGTTCATGAAATGCCTTTGCACCCACACACATACCTTATTTGGCCACTCGCCAGATTTAGACACACTATCCTTAGAAACGTCTCCAAAAATATTAGTTGACACAAAAACTCATTCGGATATACCTTTCCCACCAAATGAAACTCTCGTATATTTAATTAGGATCATATATATTTTTTAAACTTAATTGTTAACTATTTTATACGCTTATTGTAAATAAAATAATAGTAATAGTTTACAAAATAAAAATAATTTTATTATATCATCCAATTTTGACCTCTCTCAAGTCTCAATACGATTGACTGGGGACGGTGTGTCTGGTGGCAACTTCTACCTACGGTTGTATTGGCACATTCTCGTCTATTTTATAAGAAGTACATTAGACATTAGTAGGTTGTGGTTTTAAGAAATTAATGTTTTAGCAATTTTAAACTGTAACTTGTCGATATATTTTTACAATATATATGTTGGCATAATTTATTGGTATAATTCTTTTAAAAAATAAGTATTAAAAAAAGTTGTATATATTAAATTTAAATTTTTATTATGTTAAGTGACGTGACATATTTTATAATTTATATTGAGCATTTCACATGTTTTATATTGTGCTTACCTCTTAAACGTCATTATTTAAATTTTTTATCTTTGTTTTAAAAATTGATCTATCTACTAAACTAAGAGACATCAATATGAACTAGATATATAATATGTTTTATCAACTTGTTTTTACCAAAGAATTTTTTATTTTTTTAATGTGCGATTGATACGTAATAAGAAATTAAAAAACCCACTGATTATAGTGTAGTTATCCACAAATCATATAAACTGAATCAATAATATATTTTACTGAAAATTTTAATTTTACCATCTCGTGGTATTTTTATGGTAAAATTAGTGATTTAATTTTTTCAAATGTATTATTTTATTTTTTATGTAAATATAGTTTTTCCGATTTATTCTTATATCGAATTAATCATTTCATTATAACATGCTTGAATCTCATAACATTTTTTTTCAATAATTATTAAAATTGTTTGAGAAGTTTTTCTATTGTAGGATCAACATATAAATTAGTTATTGGTTTCATTATATCCCTATTTTTTTTAATATATTTTTTTCAGTGTTATAAAAATTGTTTGGAATATTTTTTTTAGACATATAGTTGCGACTTTTTTAGATTTTTTTTATAAAAAAATATCCTTCTTATTTTGTTATTATCTTTCGTTTATTATGTTGATTGTTTAATTTATTTATTATTTGCCAATAAATAAATATCAATTGATAAAAAATCAAATCACAAGAGATTTGATAATTGTTAAACTTATTAAATAAAAATAAAATTATGAAAATATTAAAGGAGAAAAGAGGAAATATTATATTTTTTTGTATTACGACGAGAATATAACGAGATCACATTGATAATTTAAAAACGTCTCTTTTGTTAAAATGCTTTAGGAGTATGTTTGTAAAAGAGATTTTGGCGAGGGTATATATTTTTTAATTAAAATAAAAATAAAATTTATAATAATATATACATTTGTCCAATATATCACATTTATATTAATATAATATTTTATATTTTTAAAATATTAATTTCAATATATATTTATTTAAAATACAATATAAAAATATCCTTTTTTTCTTCTTCCTATGCAACCTCTAACACATCCTCAAGACCCCTCCTATCATGATCTGATCTGGATCAGATACTTAGGTGGCCATTTGAAAATTTTCAAATTAAAGTGAATAATTCTAATTTTGTATTATTTTTTATTAGTAAATAAAAATATTTTATATATTTTATATCTTAACATAATAATAAATAAATATTTTCATTTAATACTTAATTAAAATTCATGGAAGTTTTTATTTCACAATATTTATTGTATTACCTTTCTTAACTTATATTTTGAAAGCAATATTAAAATTAAATTATTAAACATTAAAGTTAACATGTCAGGTTTTTTTTCATTTTTTTAGTTTTGTAACTATCATATTTTTACACTATAAAAAATAAAAGTTAAAATATAAAATGTTTCAATCTTTTAAGAAAAAACATGTAATCTTTAAAATATATAAAAGTTTAATTTAAACATCTCTTGTGAAAAGATAGTGCCTCGCATAAAAAAATTACGTATCTTTTTATATATTTTCAAATTCTTCAACACTTAATTGATATATTTTTTTTATTAACCAAACATATCATTTTAAAATATATTAAATAAGAAATATTTAATTATATTAGAATTGATTATTATTATCTTTTATCCAAAAAATTAAAGCAACAAATAATTACAATTCAGTAGTTTGATCAATAAAAGTTTTATTTTATATAATTTTTGTAGGCAATGTAAAAATATAAAATCTTATGTATTATGCAAGAATATTAAATTTATAAGATACTTAAAAAATTTAATTGAATATTTTTATATCATAAAAGATCCAAAATGGACAAACGAAACTAGTACAGTGCACCACCACTTACGCGTACATTACGAAGAATTTAAAAATGTGACGTTCCCCAAATACTCCGGCAAATATGTTTTAGTTTGAGACGGCTTCAATGTAATTAAGACAAATGAAAATGAAATGCCTTTAAAATATATATTAAAAAATAAAATTTTTATTAAAAATATTAATATACTCACATAATAATTTTTAATATTTGTATTGATTAGTATTAACTAATATTTTAAAAAACGCTTATCTTAATTATTACATTTTTAATTTTTGTATGAAACAAAAATGAAGGTTTGAAAAAGAGGTGAATGGAAAAATCAGAGGATATTAATTTATGGAGAGGCCGCGATCTTAATGTGACCGAATTGACCCCGAACCTCGGAACTCGAATGGCATGGGACCCACCAAACAAAAGAAGAAACATGAAAATTTCCATGGCGTGATGGGGGGAAAGAGAGAGTAGAAAAGAAACGTTTCGAAAATATTTGTAACATAAAAAGGAGAAAGAGAGTGTGGATGCAAATTCCATGAGAGCAGAGAAGAGGTGCCTCATACTCGTCATTATCCGTTACGAGTACGAACCCTCCTCTCTTCTCTTTTCCCTCTTTCTCTTCTCTTCAATTCCTTAACACCGTGATTCATGGAAGACACCTTCGTTTTCCAGTGGAGCGCCGTTAGATCTCTCTTATCCATCCTTCAGTGGTGGGCCTTTAACGTCACCGTTATCATCGTTAACAAGTGGATCTTCCAGGTTCCATTTCTTTCTCTGCAAATCAATCTTATATATATTTAATTTCCAAACTAACTCTATTTCTCTTATTGTTTTCTAATTTACGATGTTGATGCGAGAACAATTGTATGATCTCTGGAATTTTGCTAGATTCCACCGTTAGCATGCACAACAGTGATGCTACCTGGATTATCTAGTTATCGAAGTGTGTTTTAAACGTGAAAAACGCTATGGATTGATATTTGTATTAATTGCTATTTTTGGCGTTGCGTTTTGATTTTTAGGATTTTCGTTGTTACACAAAATCCTTATTGTGTGTTTGGATCGAGTTATTTTGGGTTTAAAACGACTTATAAAATTAACAACGAATCTGTTTCTTCTCTCAAAATTAATAAAAAGAGAGTGCTCCTATGCTGTTCATCGAGCTTGACCCGTTGCATTTCTGAATTATTGTTTTGTTACTGATCTTCCTTCTCTTCCGGTACTTCTGCACGTTGTTGGTTTCCCTTAATTTCTTTAGCTATCAGTCTGAATTTTCTTTGATTTGTTTCTGTTTGTTAGCTGTTTCTAAATTTAATTTAAAGCGAGATGTTCCTGTATATTTTGGAATTTGAGCAAATACCAGTGCTTGCTAATCATTGCAAAATTCTTTTTTTTTCCCTTAAATCTTGGATTGTTGTATGAATTTAAGAAGTTGAACCAAAATATAGAAAACCGTGTAACTGTAATGTAACTTTCCTACATAACTTAGTGTGGTTTTAAAATGAATTATAAGTGATCCGAACAGGTGGTACGTGTGATTAATTTGTGAACAAATAATTGTGGCTTTAAAGATTCTAGAAGTGTATAATTTTTTCCAAGGGAGATTGGGCGTTACCCTGGTGTGAATAATCTACTAGATTCAATTCTTTTGTTGCTGGATAGAAAAGGTCTGACGGTTTTCTTAAGTTGTATTAGTGGTTCTCAGAACTGTACTTTTTAAATTTTTATCTCGTGATGACGTCTGTGTGTAGAAAAAGCTTTTTATGAGGACCTAAATGATTGTTATCACTAGACTGTTTAGATCTTCTATGTTTGTGTTCCATCTGTAATGAAGAAATGGTTTATCTATCTTTACCACTTGTTCCACAATCCATATATTTGTGTTTACTATTCCTTCGTACTTACCTTTGTCGTTAAAATATCATATTGTAAACTTGTATGGATTATATAACAACCACAATTTTATTTTTCAGAAATTGGATTTCAAGTTTCCTCTATCAGTATCATGTGTCCACTTTATCTGCTCAGCCATTGGAGGATATGTGGTAATTAAGGTGTTGAAGCTCAAACCACTGATAACTGTTGACCCTGAAGATCGCTGGAGAAGAATCTTTCCAATGTCATTTGTTTTCTGTATTAACATAGTTCTGGGAAATGTGAGCCTAAGATACATTCCAGTTTCCTTTATGCAGACAATAAAGTCATTCACACCTGCCACCACCGGTAACGTTTCATATTCTGTGTTAACATTTCCACCACATATTTGCTACCCACTGTGTATTGAAACTTGAGGATATTTTCATGATTTCATCTGATCTTGGTGAACTGGCGCAGTTGTTTTGCAATGGCTAGTATGGAGGAAATACTTTGAATGGCGTATTTGGGCTTCTCTTATACCCATTGTTGGAGGGATTCTTCTCACATCTGTAACAGAGCTTAGTTTTAATATGTTTGGATTTTGTGCTGCCTTATTTGGTTGTTTGGCTACATCCACAAAGACTATTCTTGCAGAATCTCTTCTGCATGGATACAAATTTGACAGGTACTGTTTTTATGCTTTTATTTCTTTTATTGTTAGTAACTTTGTATTTTGGTGTTCTTTGTATCCTTTTTCTGGATTTCCCAGTTATTTACATGTCTGCCATAATCTTTATTGTGGAAAATGGGTTGTTAACTCATACATTGACTATTTTTAGTTCGTTTTCTTTTTCTCCAATGTAAAGCTAGGAAATATTCTACATTGGAGCTAAGAACATCTTTGGGTAGTGCATAGTTTGATTGCAGCAAACCAGTAAATGTTGCCGAGCGTATCTATTAGGCATTACAACCAAATGCATATTAGCTAAGATTTGCTGAATTTCACCCAAAAAAGGAGATGTGGCTTGTGAATGGTGGTTTTGTTATAAGTATATATAACCCACAGAAGGTACTCTATATGGTGATTGTAATTATTAATAATCAATATTTGTTATAAAATAATACAAAATTTGAAGAGTGCCTTTGTAGTGCTGATATGACACAGTTGCATATGCATCTTCATTGTAACCATAATGACATAAATTAAGTAGATTATCTTATAAAATCATGGTTGGTGAAAATAATACATTTCTATCTTGATGTTACTGTTGGGTGTAAACTTGCTACGGGTGTGCCTCAAGCCTCTGTAAGGGCTTATGATTTACATATAGATGACCTACCAATTAAAGCCCACCAACAGGAATTGCTACCTAGACACTTCCGTTTTTTTGTCAATGATGTTATTCTATACTTTGTTACAGTATTACAGTTTGTATCTTGGTTTCTCTGAATTGCTTTGCCATGACTTTTCTGCAGTACCCAAGCTAATTCTTCTTTTCATGTATCTTCAGCATAAACACAGTTTATTACATGGCACCTTTTGCAACAATGATCTTGGCGCTTCCTGCCATGTTACTTGAAGGTGATGGAATTCTTGAATGGCTAAATACCCATCCATATCCTTGGTCGGCTCTCATAATTATTTTTAGCTCTGGGGTGTTGGCTTTCTGTCTTAACTTCTCCATTTTTTACGTGATTCACTCCACCACTGCTGTAACGTTTAACGTTGCCGGAAATATGAAGGTGAGATCTATTGGTATCTTCCAAGCATCATGGTTGTAGTTAATTGGTTCAATTCATGTATTTGGGAAACTGTCTGTTTCTTCTATTTAAAACCCAAAGAAGATGCAGGCATGTTATCACTCTTTCCAACAAGAGATGCCTTTCCTGCCTCTTGCATTTTTCGTTTCATTTTGCTTTACCATATGCTCCCCTAGTTTCACTGAATTTAATTAAATCTTCGTTCTTCTACTTGCATGTTAGTCATTAAGTGCATGGTGGATTGTGTTAATGGATTATTGATGTTAGGGTAGTGAAACGGGTTGTGTTAATGGTGGAACCGAACTATGATATCTCTAACCAGAATTATTTTTCACTTTTCAAATTAAGCAGAATCATGTTTTCTGTGCAGGTTGCAGTTGCTGTCCTTGTTTCTTGGCTGATATTTAGGAACCCAATTTCATATTTAAATGCTGTTGGGTGTGCCGTGACTCTCGTGGGATGTACATTCTATGGTTATGTCAGGCACATGCTTTCTCAACAGCCACCAGTCCCAGGAACTCCTCGGACACCCAGGACCCCTCGGAGTAAGATGGAGTTGCTTCCTCTTGTAAATGATAAATTAGAAGATAAGGTCTAATTGATTTAGCTACTATGATGTTTATGCCTTTTGGAGGGCAGTAATAGCAATAGGTACAGAAAGATTGAAGTCACGTTGGTTATTTATTCTGATAGAGTAACCAAAATTTTTAATACAAGTTTTTTTCTTTTTTTTCTTGAACTCTCCACCTTTGTCATTTTCTTTTTCTAGATCCTAGTTCTCTCCATTTTGCTTTTTTTCTCCGTTTCATTGTATGCACTATAAACAGACGGACGATTATTATTGTTAATTTATTGTTATTTGTGTAAGGGAAACGAAATGGACGAACATATCTATTGGTAATTTCGACGGATTAACGTTCATGGCCGAAATTGCCGTTTCTAGTTCAACTCGAACAGTGTGTGGAATTGTCCGTTAGTGATTCGACTGCATGTGACAATCAATGCAAATATAGATAGATTTTAACGTAAAATTGAAATAGGTTATTTATATTACTATGGTACAATTACCACTAAAAGGTGCTCGAATTAATGCTCATTATACTGGCTCAGTAACTGAAGATCCTCACAACAAAAATAAAATTGTTCACAAGCATGGACAATTTGATTATTTTTTATCAGTCAGATTACATGGTCTTAAGTGATGACTCTCATATCATCAGTACGATATAGTTAGAACTAGTTACAGGGTGATACAGATTATAGATGGTCACAATATCATGATTAATTTCCCCCCTTTCCCCTTTATCCCTTCTAAGATCTTAACTAGCAGCAACTAAACTATATCTAAGCCAAAAGCCAGAAATTCTTCTGCCACCTAGTGCTGATGAGGTAGCCATTCGTGCCCTGGCTTCTTTTCCTTACTCCTATTGTCAAGCACTCAGCGTTATTGATGCAATACTCCACAAACTCATCTGTACTAGTGCTGCTGCCTCCACAAAGACTGCAAAAAATAAAAATTAATTCATTGAATTACAAACAGTGAATTGTTTAAAAACTATACCTGAGACACGAGAAATTTTAAAATTTGATATCAAAGCTTGCAAATTGAAGGTGTTGGATGACAAGACTCTCACCAGCTTAAGAGAGAAGAAGGCTTCTTTTGGCCCAGTACCAGGACAGAGACCTCCAGCTTCTTTACTTGGCTCATAACTGTGGCCACTTTAGGTCCTTGGATTACGAGCGCTTCCACTTCCACCTAATGTCAGACCATGACACTATCAGTAACTCCTTTTTCAACAGGGGAGGATACAACAAAGGAAGAAATGTGAAATGAAAAGCTGAAGCATCTGAGTACTTCTCATGATTTTTCTCTGCAAAGTGAAATTTAAAGAAGGGAATAATGCAAGAAGCTAAGACCCTTCGCCATCTAAAAAAGAAAAATGAAAAAAGAAAGCTGGAGAAGAATTGAAGGCAAAAGAATTATTTTTCAACAAGAAAAAAAAAAAAGAGGAGACCTCCTATCTAACAATTTTTTAACATCATTGAAAATTCACAGAACTACTTGAAACAAGATCTACCAAGCTCAATGACTACCCTTTGCCTCTCTAAAGGCGTGAAAGGAAACTGAAGAAAATAACATAGCAATGGTTATCTCTACTTGATCTCAACAAATGAAAGGGAAGAGTAACATATAACTATCCTTGCTACAAACGCAACCAACTTACCCCTGGCTTGCAATCTCTGCAAAGGGACCCAAGATAGTTGACAAGATAGGTGGAACAAGAAGATTCAGAACCCTTATGAGGCGGCACAACATGGAGCAGGGTCAACAAATCACCCTTATTAGCTACATGGGTTAGTGCCCACATCATTGCATGCTTGGAATGTGAAGTGCCATCAACCACAACCATCACCCTCTTCCTCCCCGTCATCCCACACTCTCCATTCCCATACATGTTAAACCCTTCCATTTGATTCAGACTTGCTTCACACCCGCCACTAATATATCTGCTTTTCCCACTCCACCGATTTGATGTTGATTTCCAAGCCTCCTTTGCACTTAACTGTCTTAAAAACGATGCAGAACTTGGCATTGATCTCTCTTGAACAACCCTTTCCGCTTGATTTATCCAACCACAAGTGTTCTACTGTACTCTTATTACTAGATAAAGAGGGGTATAGGTGATAGAGTGTAGCACAGGTTTTGTATGACAGATTACTATAGCTGGGAAAACACACTTGCTAGTTCCTAGGGGAAGAGAGAGAAGTGCAGTAGGTAGAGGATGATGTGGGGGTATACGTGATGCAAACTCAGAAGTTGGGGGGCTTTTATTTTTGCGCAGATTAAAGTGTCACGGGAATCTGAGGTCTGTTTTGTGCATGATGATGAATAATGGGATCTTTGTGAAATCTTTTTTCATCTATTTCAGAATCTTTTGTACTATTATGGTAATACTTGTTTTGTCGTGATAAACTGGTTCGTTAAGCATTGTCTATGCAATAATTATAATAAAGAACAAGAATTACCCATAACATATGATGTAAAGTGGTCCATCAAATTGGCTTATCCTCAGCTCACAATTTAAATTTATTTTAAAGTTATTAATTATAATTTTTAGTTAAATATGTATTTTTATGATTTTTAACATATATTTTTAACATGCACTTGAGATAGGCTGATTCGTGGATTCAAAATGCAATGTTTGCATACATATGTAAAGTCACAAGGATGAAGTTTGATGTATTATGATTAGAAATATGTTTTGTTTTGATCTTCTGAAAAAATCGTAAACGTTTATTTATGATTATTTTAAACACGAAAGCAATGCAACTCAAATTCACATTTATTATTTAAATGTTCGTTTGATAGAGTAAAATATAAGAGGAAAATAATTAAATATAAATTTAAAAAAGAAAAAGAAAAATGTTCGTTTAAATGTTTGTTTTTTTATATGCAAACAGAGGATTGCTGTTTGTGCATTTAGATAAATACGTCTGGAAATTAAAAAATAACAAAAATATCTTTTAAAAAACGATTACAGAAATAAGAATTGTATATTTATGTATAGTGCTTTAAGTCCATTCTTCTAGTTTTAGGTTGAATGAGTGTGATTTTTAAATTTCCAAAACAAATTCTATTGTTTGTCTTAGTGATCCAAGCAAAGGGGCATGGGAAGTCATAAAATGAAACAACTCAACTTTAGTATGAAGTTTAAAAAATATTTCTACAAATTAATTTAATGAGTTACAACCAATGCTTAATGCTTTTAGGACAATTTTTAATTTTAATTTCTTAATTGATGTTTTAAGCATTTAAATTAGTATAAATATTTAAATTTTATTAATTTAACCATTTAAAAGTAATATTTTTGTTATTAAAAATAGTGCCTTTATTAGATTAAAGTTTAAAGGTCTAATAAATAAATTTTCAATAAAATTTTACAATAATTAGTTGCTAAAATTTAATCTTAAAAGTTGATGTTGATATTTTTAAAAATATTTTCTCAAAATTTCAACGTGTATCAAAACAAAAAAAAATATGTATATTTTTAAAAATTACAAATCACATTATATTATAAAATTTAATGCATTGATAATATTAATTTTTTAATAAAAAGTTATCATTCATTAGTTTCTTAATATATAATTAGTAAATGTTAAAAAAATTATATTAAAAATGATATTAATAAAAATAATCAATATAATTTTAAACTTCTACATAAATAGATTTTAAAAATAAAATTATTTTTACTACGAATAAATAAATGAAACAAATATATTATGTATTATATATATATATATATATAATCTTTAAAATATAAGCATTATTTATTAAAATTATTTGTAAGAGGATTTATAAAAATAAAAATTTAGAAATTAGGAAATTGCATTTAAAAAGCTTTACTATATCTCCATATAATTTTTTAAAATATTTATCTTCCTATTTTATAAAATATATATTAAATAGAAAAGTACATTCCAATACGTAATACATTAGTCCAGATAAAGTTCATGAGCATGTTTATAATAAAGTTAAGAGAGTAAAAAAGCAATACAGTAGATTTAATTTAAAATATATAACAATATTAATATATCAACACCTAAAAACAATAATGTTGCGCTCTCTCTTTACAAACAAACGCAGTTTAAAAGAACCTTTTTTTTAACAGTACATGATTCATTTTATTTAGAAAAATAATTATTTATATTTGGTCCAACCTTATAAAAATAAATAATAAACAATTATTTCTCTTAACTTGAAGGAAATTTTAAGAAGTTCAGAAATGGTTAGATTATCTTGCCCACCCAATAAATAAAATCCTAAATAAATAGAATCACCAGAATTAAATATAAAATAGTTTCATTACGTATTGTTCACTGGGCAGTGGTCAGAGAACACTAAAGAATCAGGACCTGACAGCATATAATAATAACAAATTTGAAAAAATAAAAAGAATGGAAAAGGGTTTAATATTTTATTTTATGCGTATAAAGAAGGGTGTCAGAAAAGAATAGGTACCCTCGTGAATTGGGTTTTGTTTGGATGTGCTGAGTGCTGTGCCGACCCAACTCAAGTACTCAACCACATTCTAGCCTTTGTTACGTTTCTCAATTACCACACCACACTTGTTGTTGATTCAGAGTTCATAATTGATTTTCTAGTCGCATTAACATGCTTTTCTTAAATTGGGGGTATCGTATTTAATAATGCTTGAATCAATACACCATCCTTACCCAATTCGTCACTCTCTCGTCTCTACTTTTTAAATGCAATAGACACCAATAACATTATGCATCCCTATGAGTTAATGCACGAATGAAATGTTATATATTTTACTATAAGAAATTGTTCTGAACAGCTGAATCGAACGGAACTAAACTCCTCTTAGGGTTCCCCAAAATATTATATGTAACGTTGAACGGCAGTTAAGGGAACATGAGAGACGAATTGGAAAGAAAAAGAGAGTACAGACGAATTAGCGTTCAGCCTCTGAGTCTTCGCAACTCGTGAAGTGAAATAATAACAAATGGTGTCAATACTGTTTCATCATACACTATACGCATACGACACACAGCATGATAAATCGTACCATTTTTATGATCAATTATTCTACACTCGTTTCAATATAAACTTAATGATTAAGATTAATTTAAATATATATTCAAATTATATAAAATAATTTATTATTTGTAATATCAAAATTAACTTTAAAATAAATTACATGTATATATTTCTGAATATTCCAATTGGCCCCATTATGGTAAGGAAAAGGGAAAAATGAAAAGTAAAATGAAGTGATGGCAATTATGACTGTCTATGCCGGGAAAGGGGTGTGAGACTGAGACCAAAGGGAAGGGAAGGCTGGGGAAGTGGCAGATTTGGTATGCCAAAAGCAATGGAAGATAAATAAATAAACAAAGAAAACAGAATCATACTGCATCGGTTCACACCAACACTTTTTAGGAGCTTATGATGATGGTTTCGTTAGAATTAGAATATAAATTTGGATCAAAGCCCATTTTCTGTCAAAGAAAAATGAAAATTCAAGTTTCGTTTTCACTCTTTTCTTTAGAAAAATGCTTATCTTTGATATAAATAAATCATGCAGAGACACAATATAAGCACTAGAAAAATATGTGGGATAAAATTTACGAATATTCATGGATTGCTATGCATACTACAATTTTTTTGTTATTTATATATATTTTTTTATTTTTCAAAGTATATTTATTATATAAAAAAATTAGATTCTAATACTGATTTAAAAATGACTTTTGAAATTTAAATTTTAAAAGTGATTTGATAACTTATAAAAATCCTTTATAAATCATTTTCAAAATATAATTATTAAAAATATTTTATACCTTATAAAAATTAAATTCTAAAAGTAATTTAAAAAATACTACAATTAATAAAAATGAACGGTGGGAAAATAATCTTTCTCCGATCTCGTAGGATCTCTCACATTTGCTAAAGTGTCATTTCCGTCAAAATCTCAGTTAAAAAGTGTTATTTGTTTTGTTTTATGATTTAGTTCAAAAAGCGTAAAGGGTAGCAAATTGCTAATCCAATTTAGCTGTAGTTTAGTTCATTGTTTACTTTTGAATTGACAAAGACTGTAATTACTTACCCGATTCTTTTTATTTAAAAAATAAAGTGCAAACAAACAACATCAACCACTGCCTTACAAATTTTACGATGGTAAATACTATAATCCCTACATTGCCTTGTATTCTCTCTCCTTTCTAAAAATAAACTCTTAATATTTAAATGTTATTTCCGGTTATGTTAACTTATCTACAAGAATAAAATTCTAACACTTTTTTACAAGATTAAAATTTAAAACTTAATTTTAATCGTATTTAATATATTTTAAATTTTAACCTAATTACACTAATAATATAAAAAAATTTGTATTAATTAATATAAAAATTATATCAATAAGTGTAAAAAATTATATACTTAGTGCACCCATTTTAAACTCTTTATTTTATGAACTTTATAAATTTGTCAACATGAATCTTTGAAACTGATATTGATCAAGTAAATATATATATATATATATATATATATATTAATAAATAGGTTTTTTTTTTTTACTTTACAAGCAACATTAACCAGTGATATTAGTTTAAAAATTAAAAATTATAAAAATATAATATTTGATGTTAACAATATAGTCTCACTATAATTTTCAATATACTTATTTATTATCTTTCTAATCATTATCTTTAAAATACTTGTTAGAAATATTATTAAATATTATTATTTTATCAGTTTATATAAAGAAATTCATTTATAAAAGTTAGAGAAGCGAATTCAAATCATGGATATTTAGGCATATCCATTAACATGGATATCAACCCTAAATTGCTTCTCTCAGGAATATGTCCAAACAATTGTTTTATTAACACGGATGTGGGCACGGGTCTCGAATACATACGTATATGATATATCCTACCCATTATCATGTCCACGTACAAAAAAAATAACTCATTTAAGCTTTACAAAATGATGAAAAGTAAATCATTTTTCATAATTGGATCAACTTCTACCGCTTCTACAACTCCTATCACTGCGCTAGTTTAATTTTCATTCTTAGTCTGTGACCATAATCATCGGCAAAAACAAACTACACGGACCTATTCTATGTCAATCATCTACGCGTTCTTCTAGCTGCTTATATGTATTATTAAACCTATATACAGTTATAATTTGCCTTCTATGTCAGTTGTATGTTGAGAAGAGATCTTTCTGTACAAATCACCCTCAGTCATCAAAGATATATCTTCAGGAGACAACATTGTACATCTACTCAAGTAATGACCACCCCGCGCCCTGCATGGAAACATCGTGTGTTGAGCAACAATTCAAGGATACCTGGTTAACGTATAATCAACCAAAAGGCTGAAAACAACTAATTGCTCAACAAACATGTACCTTCCTCTTCTCTTCTTTTCAACATCTTGTGAAATGCGGAAAGCTTCTGATCTTGAAATTTGGCGTAATGAAGATAGATATTCATTGAATACGTCACCTTTTAATGTCAAGGATATTCTTGCAGGAACAGTGGATTGGATCGCCTTGAACAGAGATGTTTTGGTTTCACTGCATTACAGGCTCCCAAAGTAAGGTTTGACATCAAGGCATAACCAAAATTGTTTTTTAAAAACAATTTATCAGAAACATTTTCACGAGCGGAATCGAGCGTGAACTATAGATGAAAGGCAAGGCTAAAAATACCTCTTCTGCATTTCATTTATTGGGTTCCACTCTAATTGCTTTCCAGTAAAGATAGCTTTGCTTTTCGTGAGATCCTGCTCCGATAATTTTCCCAACGCCATAATATTAGTAGTGGAAGCCAATATCTCAGAAGTTAAATCAACCCAGTTATCATATCCCAATTTTGATCCTACATCTGCTATAAGCTTAGCGTAAAAGCAAAACCCATGTTCAGCAACAGTGGGCATCATTACGTGCTCATGATACCAACTAGATGCGGCTTCACCAGAACGGAAAATTGGAGGTTCCATAATATCCTGCACATTCACATATTGTCATAATCAAGTGCCAATCCACAAAGGAAGAAAGAGTACAATTTTCATTTCACCTGTAGAAGGCACTTACACGTTTTTGTTGGTGATCATGAAACAAGTCAGCTTCAGAAAATAGATTGCTCAGTCCACTAGCAAGTTTAACAACTTGAAGAGAATGTAGCTGTTCTTCGGTAGCTTGCTGCCTTGAATCCATTCTACGCTCCCGAAGGTTTGTCCACAATTTTTGTATATCTGTCTCCATTGATAGATTGGATTGTACAAATGTTGAGTTTAGTTTGAAATCCATACGACTGCACTCATCCATCACATTGACAATTGTAGTTTCCATATTCTTGTCTACAACATCTCGTTGAACCCCTTTGAGAGAAGAACCTGGAATTGCAGTATCCACCCGCAAGTCTGGATTTTGTGTCAGTTTTGCTAACCGCCTACGGACACTGAAAGTGAATGGTTTCAACTCATTATTCACAGAAACCTCCAGAGGACCGACAAGATGGCCAGAAGACACAGCTCCAGACATTGTCTCTGTTCCATTTTCAATTGCAGTCTCAGGAACTAATGTTGATTCTGGCACACAGGATACATCATATGATTTAGATATTTCACTCAAGCACGTATCGTCAGCTGTTTCTGAATATTTAAAATGTTCATCTTCTGAATCCTCCAATTCAGAACAAACCAGTTTGCGAACTGATGAGCTGGGACAGTTTCCATTCAACTGAAACTCAGGCAGACATTCATCATTTTCTCTCATGGATTGTCTATTATTAGCATCATGTGAGTCTACAGGGTATCCATTATTTGAATCCTCGTCCTCAGAATCAGAGGACATTACTACAAGTTTCCTTCGACCATTTTGCCAAGAGGATGCAAGTGGAGATCCAGAAGAGTTGGAAAACTCAGAAATAGCATTGTATTGAATTTCAAGCTCGCTGTAATCTGTTAAAGATCCATTTCTCTTTATCATCTCCACCTTCTTGGCCTCTATAGAATCAGTCTCCAAATACTGAACATCTAAATCATTTTGCCTTTCATTTATGTGAAGAGACTCTTCTGTAACTAACTCTCTATTGTTTTCTTCCATTATATTTGCTGATTTGGTGATTTCGTTCTCAATTAGCTCGGAAATCTCTGAGGGGAAACTCCAGGGCATTATCTTTGGTAGTATCTGATGGCCAAGCTCAAGATCAAATGGAAGTGAGCCATAGCCCGTCTGTTCTTTTCCATCTGTACAGCGGAGGGGGAAGTCATTAGGTTTTGCAAGTGATCGCAATGGTAATAAGATAACCGGGAAATAGTAAATGAAATTATATTCCAACATTAATTCCTAAGCACAAATATCACAACCAAAAATAAATAAAGCTTTGGTTGTTAACTTATAAAGAGTCATAGGTGATAAAAGGATCTACCAAAATGGAGTCAGAATAGTTAAGAAAATGGGGAGTGAAAAGGAAAGAAAGTAAAGCAGAAAACTCAGTCACTCACAAGATTTATGAATCGACGAAACAATACTGATAAAAAGTGTATTATCCTAATATACTATGACCACAACAAAGTACCCTCTGATATTTTATTTTTCTAAACACTTTACAGTTCATATGTAGAAGCTTTAAAATCAACCCTCCCAACAAACAACAGAAAGGTCAACACAGAAAAAGAGAGGGGGAGAAAATGAGGGGAATAAATAACGGTTTAACCAAGTTTGCTTCTTTTCGCATTTCCACTGCTCGCTGTTGCTAACTGAACTCCTTTTACCCTTAAATGCGGTTACTCGCAAATATCATTCCATACCATAGTCAATAAATGCAGACAACAAAATATTTGATTTGATGTGTACATGCTACATAAAGACAGTCTAGAAACACATAAATGAACCAGATGGTGTGTGGTATACCTTTTCGAAATCTTTTACTTTGAAACCAGAACTGAAGATGCATAATGGATTTTCGGATATCTCCATCACAAGACTGTATAAACTTCTTCAGTAAAAGAGGATGGATGTTGACTCCTTCTGTGAGACAAACCTGCACGTCACTTGTGTACGATTAATATAAATTTGGACAATTTTCTTTTACTGCTTTTATTTGGGGGGGGGGGGGGGGGGGGGGGAGGGGGGGAGAAGGAAGAAAATCAGCAAGTACATACAGTGTACAAATGGCAAAGCAACTCCTTCGGTGATGGCAACACAAATGAAACATGGAGCATATCAAAATTATCTGGCAGGCCAGGATTATCACCTAATTTCCAGCAATACATTGTCATAAATATGAACGTCTGATAAAATCTATAAGTTGAGCAAAAATGCATCATTCTAACTAGTCATCTTACTATTGCTGGTCAATATAATTGGCCCCCTTGCAGTCTCAGCAATCTGTTGTATGGCAGCAATACATCCACGATCTTCAGGAAAAAGAATGTCCACATCCTCAACTAGAATTATAGTTTGGACTTTATCACAAGCAACTAAATTATTTTTGCCAAGTAACTTCTGCGATGAACCACCATGGCTAGGAGCTTCATCAGATATGGATATCAGTTCAACCACCTCATCAGCAGCTTGACCACTGACCAAAGCAGGAGCTGGTGGCAATTCTGCAGTTCTCTTCTGTGAACTTGCAGTATGTTCTGATAACCTGAAACACATATACATTAAATAAGATATATCATCACAGAACAGGTTGACAGATCACAGAAGTTTCTTATAACAAGTAACTTGGTTCTACTAAAATAAGATTGAATCAAGGCACAACAACCTAACAAAGAAGTTTAATTATAAGTGCCCAACGCTTATTTTACTTAGATTCTTTAGCTATTCAATTTTTCGCTGTAGATTGAAGAAAGGAAAAACCAGTCCAGTCCCACATCAAAAGCATATAACCCAAGACATCTTGGAGCTAAGACCACTACTCCATGCTTGCTTTATACTTGTTTGACAATTCCAATTCACCTCTTTAACATCTAAAATTATGTTCTCTCCCTCATCCATTTGATTGGATAATTACACAACTAGTAACAAACTGCTTTTTGCAATCTAGCATACAGTATTGTTTACCTTTATCAAATAGCATTTGTACAAGGGAATCTAAATTCCCAAGTTCAATATGAAATGCTCCTCCACAGAAAAAAGGAACACTCAACTAAGGTAACAAAATAGTGGAGGGAAGTGAAAGTCTATAGAAGACAGTTACAGTTAGTTAAAATTACTCAGCTCCAGAAGATTGGAATTTACCAGCAAGCATTGACAGAACAATTCACAAACCTTTTGAATCCAAGTGAACAAAGGGCATCCCCAAAATACTGCTTGACAACAGTCCCATTTCTACAATCTGATGCATTGAGCTGTTGAGACAACATGAACCATAAAGTTCAATAAATTTGGCTATATTCATGGTTGAAAAGACAGATGCATGATAAGGAAAATAAATCTTTTAACAACTATTTGATGTTTTAAAAAAGCAAGAAGATGCTGATAGGTGTTTGAGGGGAATAAATTGTGCAAGTCTGTTTATTGAAAGCTAGGCTAGCAACTGACAAATATAAGTAACTGTTTCCACCATTCTTTCTCATTGCTTTTGACCACAACAAATAACAATCTTTCAGACTAATCGTTCACATTGGGCAGGAAAGATCAAACTTAAACCAAAGTTCAGAGGAGATGGAAAACTTCGTAATACAACATACATCAGGCATATCTAAATCTGGCTGATTAATTACTTTGCTTGATATTCAGTGATGCTTATAAAAAATTAAGGTGGCTATTTACAGGATGCAAAAGATCAATGAATATTATTATTACAAAAGAGTATCAGTTTAAATGCATAAATACTAAAAGTATATTAATAAACAGTGATACCTCTAAAATGTCAAACCCTTGCTCTTGGGCACAAGCATAGACTGCTGCAGACTTGCCACTCTGCAATATGATAAACTTAATGCTTTAGCAACTGATATGAACAGGAAGTGTTTTATACTGGAAAAAAATATTGAACCTAGCTACAGGTAAATAATGATAACTTTAGGTAAAGTTATCCAAGCCAAGAAACATTCAGAAGACACCAATAGTAAAGTTTTAGTCTTAGATTTTATGCAAATACCTGTTGTTGAAATCCCAAGAAAAAGAATAATTATCATTCCTTGGTTCTTACTACTATTATTAGAACTTTTAAAGAATTAGTATTACTAACAGAGGAAACTAATTGCTGGAAAAGTAAAATAGAAACTGAGGTTCAGTAAGAATAAACAATAACTAAACAAATAAAAATACGAACTTGGTCATCGCCAAATTAACTTTGGAGCAAAGGTCATCAATAACCCTAACACTAGCAGTAGAAACGTACAGGTGTAAACACTAAACAGAGTTGTTACCTATCACTCACTAAGCCACAAAGAAATTCACAAGCTTGTATTCATGTCTGACATGGTTTTATAATAGGGGACAAAGGCAGCCAGATCTAGTGTATTTTCATGACCTTCAAGTGAAAGGAATGCAACAATTGTAATTCTCTACTTAGTTCAGAAATCATTTTTTCATCATCCAAACGACTTGCAGGCCCTATATTATATAGTTATCAATCAAATAGCTTGAGATTTGACTACCCATGGTGTTATTTTTCTTTTATCTTCTACACTCTAGTTCCCAGTGGTCTAACATTTTTTCAAATCGGCCATTAGCTTCTATCTTGATTTGACAGAAAGCTCCATTTGAAAAGTTATTAAGACTTATTCTTTTTCTAAAACTACTCTGCCCAAATTCTAATTAGTTTCAGAGTCACCATTATATTACTGAATAGTAGTAGCTAGTAGCCTTCAATATATGCATGAATGGAGAGCATGAGACAATTCTTGTAAAGAACGGCAAGTCAAAGATTTGAGAAAGTAGATTTCCACACACCCCTATCGGTCCTGTAATTAAAAGAACATTCTGCAGGGTATCCTCCCCATTTATATCTTCTGAATCGTAGTCACTATAAGAACAGTTGTAATCACCATCATCCTCATCATCTACTTCAGCATCTCGCATGGAGGTATCCTTCCTGCTTTTGTAACGTCTTTCATGCCAAAGATGTAGCCAGTCACGCAAGAAGTTCACAGATTCATCATTACCACATACCTACAAAAAGAAAATTCATGAAACAAGAAACGTGGAATTTAGGACCATAGACTTTTTTTAAGAAAATGCAACCTTAATTTAGAAAAAAGAAACACCTCAATGGCCTTTGTTGGCTTGTATTTGTATGTCCACAAACCAGCCTCAACCTTATCTTCACAACTATGGTAGTATGACCTCATACTGCAATGCAGAATACAAGGTAAAACCTCTATCAGGAACTAAGGTTATCGAACTGAAAAATAAAGTCACTAATTACAAAAATAATCAGCACAGCACAACTATTTATTTGCTATTTAGGCATTTTCATGAAAAAACAAGAAATTCAGTTGCTCCCATAATTGTTTTCCACTTTTCTTCTAACATTTATTTACCCAGATATCCTTTATTTTCCATTTAGGCATTTTCATGAAATGAAAAAAATATATATATTTATCTCTACCAGATTGTTTACAAACACACTTTCCACATATTTTACCCAAAAAATCCCAGCTTATTATATTGCTGAAGAACAAAATTTTAGCAAAACAATTTGCAAATGCATGAAATATATATAATGGGCTATAGTCAAATGTAAAAATGTTATTGCCATGAAGATATTGGAGTCGCCTGAATCATGCATTTGTTAACCTTTCTTGAAGAAATCTACTCAGCGGTTCAGTATCTGACTTTCCAAAAATGCCAGCTTGCACAGTTGAAGTAACGGATTCATCCACCCCCAAGTCCTGAAAATAATTTTTGGCCAACAGTTAACAAATAATTGAGACAAAGGTGAGAGTATATTTCACCCTCTAAATTAGCTACCGTGGATTACGTACATGCCACAGATATTCATAGAGTGCAGCTAATTAGGGACAGATACAGAAGTGATTCATTAAAAATATGCAAGAAATTATATACCACTTCAGCATCTTTACACATTGGAGGACACATTGAATGCTCCGAAAGTGTATCTGAAGATAAGGCGTTCTGAGAAATTGAAGCACCAATCGGATCCAAAGAACTAAGAACCTTGTCAAGATTTAAGGATTCAACTGAACCCTCCAAAACAGATGAATTCGAACTTTCTTGACCATAATTCACGCAGGTAGTATTTTCCAAGAGCGTCCAGTTTCTCCAGTCAAGGGATATGGTATTGTCCTGTATGGAAGAATTTTACGCCTAACTCAAAAACTATGATATTACAGAATTCAGAACCCAGACACCAAGGAAGTTTATATTACCCACCCCCACCAAAGCAGAAGTAAATCACAGGCACAAGTAACATACCTGAATACTTTCAAATACATGAATAGGGCCACAGGTAGTCCTTTCATCCTCTCTCTTAGTTGTACATAAATTACTTCCTGATTCAGCCAGGTTCTGAACTTTCTTCCCCGCCTTCCACAATGAAAAAAATGGATGTATTTGCCGCCCTGCAAAAATCCTCGAATTTTCCTGATTTGAGAATAGAATTTAATGAGAAAAAATGTGTCGAAGATTGTCAAGTCACAGTTAAGCAGCAAGGAAAGGACGAAACTGAATCTACAGCCATAATGAAAGTTTCAGGCCAATCTCCTCACTGGGTTACATGTGTTGTCATTTCACAAAATTAAAAGCATAAATAGTAATGTGTTAACGGAATTCCAGTGATGCAAAACCAAGCACACTAACCTCAGCAGACAATTTGGCCTCTGACCGCAAATCAGGCATGGGTGTATTGACCTGGTCAGAATCAGTCAACACTTGCCGCGAAGTTGAGCCCCTAATCCCATTAGCGGATGCATTTTTCTTTGGCGTTGCACTCTGTTAGTAGAGGTAAAATAACAGAACCAAACGAAATAAAATTAGAATTAAAAGTCCTCAACTTTCTCATCATATTTGCATGTCAATGCAGCAAGCAACACTTGAATTTCACCGCGACATCATTAAGCAAGAGATATAAACTAGTAAATTAATATAATTCAGCATAATACAGGCACATTGGTACAGTGAAATTATAATTGAAGTTTTAAATGAAGAAAAGAGAAGGAGATCTACCCTGGAACCTTTGTTTCGAGGAGTGGTTTTTGGTTTCGGCTTCCTCTTCTTGTGATTCTCAGCTTCGCAGTAATCCTCGTCATGTTCGTCTTCTTTGTCGTTCTTTTCGACGGGTTCAGGTGGCTTGTGAGGGAAGAGCGTCGATTGGACAAGCCTTCGGCGGACACTGCGGCGCAGCGGTGTGTCGCCGTTGCTGGAGGGACTGAGCTCCGTGACGGTGCCGTCCATTTCAGTAGAATCGAATTGAGTAGATGAATCAGTTAGGGTTTTGGAATTTGGGGGTAATGGCGGACGAGGGAGGTGAAAGAGACTTGAAATTAGGGACAGAAAATCTTGGAGGGAATGCAGGTTCGCTCGCGCCAAATTTGGAGAGAACCGATGGGTATTGGGTATATTAATCTTTTTTCTATTATTTAATCATTAAATGTATAATTTCCTCTGTTTTTGGGCGGGCTAAACTTTTAAAATCTGTTTTATTTAAGGCTACGGCTCCTTTAAAGTGTGCAAATCTCGACCACTAATAACAATTGATGATTAGTTATTATGATTATGACTCATTTAAGTGATCCAGGTCAATTATTTTTTTAAACTAATAATTTTCAAGTTAAAAAGAAAAAGAGAATACGATTAAAAAATAATTATACTTTTATCTGTGTACTGTACCTGCACGAGTTAAAGGAAGTAAAATTATGCATTCGTTTTAGTTTTAACATGCTTCTTTATTTTCATTTCAGTTGAAGCTTTGGAAGTTAATATCGTGGTCATCATCCAAATTCATAACTACAAAGGTGTTGTTAGTGTTAAAAAAAAGTAAAAATCGTATGCCAATTGTGTTTATCGGTTTATTTACAAGGAAATTACTATTTTAATTCCTTATCTTTTTTAAGTTATTAAAGTAATTTTTTACGTAAATAAAATATTATATTAATATATAATAATATATATAATCAGCAATCATATTAGCTTCTTAAAAATAACTAATTATTAATTAGATTAACATAAATTCTGACATAGCTCGTTAATTTATTAAATAAGAAGAAATAAGTAGTAGGATTTTAAATAGAAAAAAATGAGATGAAATTATAATTGAAAAGGAGTTGCAATAGCTATTGAAACAATTGCGTAAATTATTTGTGAAGGAAACTGATCTCTTGAGTTTGTGCGGCTTCAGTCTCCTATTTTTCTCCATATTTCCTTCTCATTCTATCTTTCTCTTCTTCTTTTCTACTCTTTTTTCTTAAGAAAATTAGTCATTTTTACCAGTATTTTTAATTTAAGTGAAATTTTTTATTTTTCTTAAACAAAAATTACTTTTATTAAATTCACTTAAGCAATTTTATTTTGCTTAAATCAAAATTACTTCTTATCAAATTCGCTTAAACAAATTTTATTTCATTTTGAGAAAATGTCTTTTCAAAATTGCAAAGAATTCAAATCTGTTTGTGAATTATGGTGTAGGCCATGTAGGAAGCTCAATTCCTATGTTTTATCCAAAATAATTATGTTAAATACAATCAAATTTAATTATATTAATGCTTTATAAATGTATAAATTTATTAGTATTTCTAAATGTTGAACATACATATACATGTTAATTTCCTTTACCTTAATTGCTCGCTAAAATAAGTGAAGTAATTCATCTCTTACTCAAATCTTAAACCATAATTATTTATTTTATATTAAACGGGGTTTACAGCCCTAGTGATACTTTAAACAATAATTTTTATACAGTGAATTGAGTAATTAATTATCTAATTAAAAAATAACTGTATAGTAAATTGAGTGAGATGAATTGTGTGGGCTATATTTCAATTTATAGGTTTAATTATAGTGTAAAACATTAATATTTTATTAAATTTTGAAAACAAAATATTAGACGATTACATAAACACCCCTCATAAATTATCAATAGAAATATCATTCATAAATCTGTGTATAAATATATCAATAATTTAGATATTGATATTGCATTTCATAAAATGCGTATACAAGTTAAAGCACATATTTTGAAAAATTTCAATCCAAGATGTTATACATGTTGAAGAAAAAACAATAAATGTGTCTACCGCCATATCAATTATTATTTCACAGATATGTAAGAAGACAGTGATATTTTATCATCTGTCATTCTTACTTGTTTGTTTTCTCCACCCGTTTAATTAAACAATACCAATTATTTATTGCTGTTAAAGTTGAGGACGACAAGAAAATTTTGGAACACATTCAGCAAGTTCGAAAACTCTTGACATCAACAAGAATAAACATAATCGTGTTTTGTCTTTAGAAGTTGTAATGTAAGTTTTTTCTTCATTTTGATTTAAAAAAAACGGAGAAAAAAGCTGATATGATCGGTTAAGTTATATTTTAACTACTTTAATATGTAATTAAATAGAATTCTTGTTATACTAAGTGTGAGTTTAAATCCGCTTTGAAATATGATAAACATGCGTAAAACTTGAAAAACAAAAACTACTATTTCCGTGTTTATAACGTGTGTTAATTTGAATTTAACATTGTACTAAATACACGTTAATCGTGAGGTTAAATAAATCAATTTCGAAGCAAAAGGAAGCCAGATGTTTTGCAACAATGGACATAGCACCGTAGAGCTGCTAATCTCTTCAAAAAATGAAGTCAACTATTTGATTTATTTTACTTATAACAAAAATTCTGGTAAGCCTTTAACTTGATAGAATATGAACAGAGATCGTGTTTGGTCTTTTGGACATTCTCAGTTGCATGTCATAAGATTTTAGTACTTGGTTATTATCTATCAGGGGAAAGTACATCTCTGTTTAAAATGTTAAGCTCAAAAGCAAGCTGAACGAAGTTGAACACTGCTGTATAAAGGATTTAATTTAAACCTAACTCTTCTTCAAATAACCTCTGCAATAGACTAATAGTGTTTGAGTTTGCGTTTAAAAAAAAAACTAACATGCGTTTTAAATGTATAAGCCACGTAACTTTGATTTTTTCTGACGCAAAACTAAATATAACCTGCGTATGTCAACAAAAAATATCGAAATTCAAGTGATCCTAGTATTATCACCAAGAGGCTGCCAGCGGAACAACTCACTAATATATGACAAAAACTTGCACAGTGTATGCCTAACATGTTCTTTCAATCTCTGGTTCTTTGTAAACTAAAATGGCAAGAAGTCAAGAACAAATAATCAGTGATGTTGTCATTCTCTTATACAAGTTGCAATTGGACTTGTTTTGGAAGTTTTAAACATAAATTATTATACTAATATACTATGTGGTGTATTTAAGCTAAGGTAACTAAATGTCTATATATATTTTTTGTTAGAATATAATTCATATTTTTTAATAAACTATTATTTTAAAAAATTTTAACTTATAAATTGAAATGTCAAATTTTAGATAAATTACATCAACTAAAAGAACTAAAAACTATAAATCATAAAAAAAGTAAAACACTATATACTAAAGACATTTTTATATAGACTATTTTCAAATTGTACAACGTGTAGAGATTAAATCCAAATAAAAAGTTAAATACACAATAAATAAACATGAAAACAAACTCATTAAAAATTTAAATTTTAATCATGAATCACTGCTTAGTCTATAGTAAAAATTACAAGTGAAAATAATCTTAGTTTTTAAAATATAAATGCATTCAATAAAATATATTTTAAGTTAGTATTTATATAAAAGTACAATAGAAAATTCAATATAAATGTAATATATTTACAATTCTATTCTAAATATGAGAGACGGGAATGAAATTACAACGTATAAACATAATTCTAATTCTTAAAATATTTGTTGACAAAATTTAGAACAAATGATAATTTTGAATACCCTTAGTTTGCAATGCTGAACTTGCCTCAAGTTACGCCGCTTACTGGAGCATCGTGCATGGTATCTAAAGGCAGGAAGAAAACTAAAAATTCCTTACCCAAATGCCTGAAAAAGCAAACCATACGAACGAATGTAACTCAAACACGGCCCACCCTTGCTTGTCCCCAAATCAGAAAAGCAAAACGCTAAATTACCAAAGCATCCCCATCACGCTGCTCCGTATCCTCCAAGGGACAAACAAAACCCAAATGATTCATTTACTCCAACGTTAAGCAACATTATTAAATTAATCTCTAAACCTAAACATTTCAAAATTTGAATACGACGTTGGAGTGCCTCAGAACACAAATTGCTGTTTTGTGAGTCTCAGTAATTTATTGTCCTGCCACAAAACTGAATATATATTTAATAACGGCATATATATATATAAATGATTAAAAATAAAAAATAGGAATGAATTGGACAGAGGGACAAACATGTCCAGCGAAGCATGTAATGTTGAAATCTCCATGATCGAGTCTGACTAGTGAGTAACAGTGTCCTCGTGGTTCTACTCGTGATATGCAACACACCTGTCTCCTACTCTAAACTTCCTTTCCCTTTTGAAACCCAAACTTTTCCACTCCCCGACCCCAACACTCCCCTCTTCTCTCTCACACACCCAAAATACAGAAAACCCTAAACCCATTTCGAAACTTTCATTGTAGATTCCGACATCGTAGAATTAGTTGTGCCACATTGTACCCGTTTGTTTAACTCCTTTTTATTGCGTGTGAGCACATACGAGCTTCATTCATTCTCCAGAATGCCAAATCAAAAGCACGTTTTGCAGAACACTTTCTTCCTCTTGTTACTTTTTCAGGCTTTGATGAACGTGAGTTGTAAATCCACCATAGAGCCATGTTCAAACTCAGACTCATGCAACGCTCTCTTAGGATACACTCTCTACACTGACCTCAAGGTCTCAGAAGTTGCTTCCCTCTTCCAAATCGACCCTATTGCTCTTCTTACTGCTAATGCCATAGACATTTCTTACCCAGACGTTGAACACCATATTCTTCCTTCTAGACTCTTCCTCAAAATCCCCATTTCTTGCTCCTGCGTTGACGGGATTCGCAAATCGGTGTCAACCCATTACAAGACGCGCCCCTCTGATACTCTCTCTTCCATCGCTGACTCTATCTATGGTGGGTTGGTTTCCGCTGACCAGCTCAGAGAGGCCAATTCCATAACCGATCCTTCAGTGTTGGATGTGGGTCAGAACCTTGTTGTGCCTCTTCCTTGCACCTGCTTCAATGGTTCAGATAACTCTCTGCCCGCAATTTACCTCTCTTACGTGGTTCAACCGGTTGATACTTTGGCTGCAATTGCTGCCAGATATTTTACTACTCTCACTGATTTGATGAATGTTAATGCCATGGGAAGCACTGCTATCAACGATGGTGATATCCTTGCTGTTCCAATACCCGGTAATTTTCTCTCAATCTCTTCACATTTACGCATTCAATTTTTTTATTTTTTATTTTTATTTTTTGTGTGTGTAGAATCTGTAATTTTACCTTGTTTCTCATGTTGCAGCTTGTGCTTCAAATTTTCCAAAGTCTGCCTCTGATTTTGGCTTGCTTGTCCCTAATGGAAGTTATGCCATTACAGCGGGTCATTGTATGCAGTGTAGCTGTGGACCACGAAACCTTAAGTACTTATTAAGCAACTTTTCTTTTTGCAAAATCTATTCCTTCTTCCCTTGTAAATAAACCTTGATTAGATTCTCTTTTGGGGTTAAGTTATTGTAAAGTTATTTACTTGTGTTTAATCGTTTCTCGCTTTCTACACAGTTTGTACTGTATGCCAGCTTCTCTAGCTGTTTCTTGCTCCAGCATGCAATGTAGGGGAAGCAATCTTATGGTGGGAAATGTTACAGTGCAACAGACTAGTGCTGGTTGCAATGTTACTTCTTGCAATTATGATGGTATTGTTAATGGCACCATAGTCACTATGTATGTGTATCCTCCGCGCACTTGCTTTTCTAGTTGAGATATTTTTATAATCTCTATTTTGCTGTACTTGTCTTCGAATTTAAGCTTGTCTAATTTTTCTTGCCACTCTGCAGGTTGTCCCCATCTCTTCAGCCTCGATGTCCAGGTCTGTGTGTTATGTGTTTCTAATCATTGTATTCCACGATCTCTTTGTTTTACTTTTCATTCTGGATGGTTTATTTACCATGATGCCCGCTAACTCAGTTCAATTGAGTTGAGCATGCCTTAATTCTGCATAGATGATACTTCAAATGTTTGAAATATCAATATGTTAGCGATACAAACAATGAACCATGGTCAATCTTCATGTTGTTTACTATATGCTATCTATTTCAGCAAATGTATGCCGTTGCCAACTCCAAGTCTAGAATGTATACTCTATTTGCTATAGCTGCAATTTGTATTTTCTGTGATGCCTTCTAAATATGTTTTAAATAATGTTACAGGGTCGCAGGAATTTCCTCCCCTTATTGCCCCACCTACAACTGTTGCAAGAGAATCAATATTTGCACCAGCACCGGCACCGCAGTTTGATGGAGCTGGTCCAACATCACCCAAATCCTCACTGGTTCCTGCAACAGGGCTTCCAGGATTCTCTCCTGCAAATGGCCCTGTCAGCGGGATTTCTTCTGGTGCTTCTGCTGCATGCTCCTTGGTGAAACCATTACCCACTTTGACATCTGCAATTGTGTTATTGCTTGTTAAGTTGATGATACCTGTGGCATTGTAATCTTCTCTTCTCAATTTTGTAGTAGGTTTAGTTATGCCCTGCTACTTTGATTGTCACAGGTGCTCCTATCTATTGTAGTTAATGATATTCATTTGTACCCTTGAACTGATTTGTGAATCTGGAGAACTATGTGATTTCGAGTTTCATCACACGCATAGCCTTTTTATTATTTGACGCTCTGCTGACTTATATTGTTTCTCTAGGGTCAGTAATTCTAGGTATAGTCTGTTATTGATCATTATCGAAGCTCAATCTTGTATTCACGTATATTTCTCAATCTTGTTTTACCATTTTCTGGTATTTCTAATAATGCAAGTATGCGGTCAATTGTCTTTCTTGGTTTTTCTTAAATCTTGAATACCTTAGCTTTGTTATTTGATAGCCCATTTTCTGTGCACGGTCCATATATGGAATGCAACCCAATGCAAATGTTGGTGCCAAATGTAATATTCCTCAACTTCTCGTATGGAAATGATTTTCTTTTTTAATTTCGCACATTTGAGTTAGTTGGGTGAGAAGGAAGAAAGACCGTTAAGTTCCATTTTATTCTGTCTTTTATCGTTAGTGTCTTCCTATTCACTCGAGAGAAGCCAATTCTAACGTTATTTGTAGTTTTTCTATTTTTGACAGCTGGAACATTCACTTACAATTTGATTCCCTTATTCCCAGAATCGATAAATTCTTCAATTATAGATCGTGAAATGAAGATCCATTGGAATGTGCATATCTGAAATTGTTAGCGTGGGTATTTGGTAACGCATTTATTTTGTTCCCGGAGTCACTTGTGAGCTTCCAATTTTTTACTCCTTTAGCGTGGGTATGGTGTTTGGATGCACGTTTGAATTTGAGTTAGATTCATGTTTATAGAATTTTAAACTTGTTACTAAACATGCACTAAATTCATCATGACTTTTGAAGGGTAATTCGAGACTTATATATACAAGCAAATTTGAACACTGCGACACTACTATTGTTATTTCTATATGACATTCGATGGAGTACGCAGAATTACTTAATCTAGCTGGTAAATAGTTACTGGGCAGAATTTGATATCTTAAGCTTGTTTATGAAATAATGAATCAAAATTTTAGGCCCTTGAGTGCTTGTGTTGTTTTATTAATTAAAATTGAAGTTTTATTTCACTAGCTTGTGTGCAACTAAATTTTGTCAAACGATTAATTAGATGGATAAGATAACATTTATTAACTTCCATTGAACCTTTACAAGAAATAAGAAGAATTATAGTAATAACAAGAAAAACACATTTTACTTATTAAATAAAAATTAAAATTTTATTAATAAACAAATACTTTATTATATTATACCATTTAATTTTATAATATGGTAAAAATGCAAATTATAAATCTATTTTTAAAATACAAAATTTAACTATGGTTATCCAATTTACCAAATTCTTAAAAGGTAAACTCTACACTCTGAAAATTAAGGCGTATTTTATGCTTTTTTATTAATGTAAAATAATTGTGACGATTAATTTTAACAGTAGAGGTATTGATTTATTTAAAATATCAAATATTCTTTAACATTTTAGTATAATCTAAAAAATATGAGATGCTCCTTCATGTTTAATAGTACCGAAGGAAGCACCTTCACAGTTCATTAATCAGTTTTTCTAAGGAACTTGGGCCTCGAATTCTTGGAAAGGTGGAGCCTGGAAGTATTGCGTTAGAATACTCCTTTCTGTGCCAAGAAAATAAGTTTGAAGCGAAAGCAGAAAGCAGTTGTGACTTGGGTTCCCACTGACACAATGCCTTCAGCTCCTACAAAACTCTATGCAGGTTGTGTCACCTCTCATCATCCCTCATCACACAGTCTCCGATTTCACACAATTAACCCTTTCTTTCTTTCCTTGCAGATGACGTTAGCCTTCTCGTCGTCACGCTTGATACCAATCCTTTCTTCTGGTCCACTTTCCCATTCCCCTTCTCCGAATTCCTCTCTCAAGTAACTCTCTCTCTCTCTCTCTCTCTCTCTCTCTCTCTCTCTCATCCCTATTCCCAAACCACTTTTCAATCCTCTTTACCCTTTTCAGGTACTCGCTTTCCTCAATTCAATTTTGCTTCTCGGCCAACTCAACCAACTCATCGTCATCGCCACGGGCTGCAATTCTTGTTCCTACGTTTACGATTCCACTTCCACCAACAACCATGCTTCCGCCACTGCCACAATGCCCGCGCTTTATTCCAATTTGCTTCACAATCTTGAGGATTTTCTAGCTAAGGACCAGAAATTAGCCGCGCCTCACTCTCCGGGAACCGTTCCTTCTTCCCTGTTATCCGGCTCCTTGTCTATGGCCCTTTGTTGTATCCTTCGCAATGTTTATGGTTCTTTTTCCGCCCTTTCAGTTCGCTTTGCTTTCCGCGTTCTTCGAATTTTGGCTAATGAAATTGAAGACGTTTTGTTTTAAGGATTAGGGTTTTCAGTTTTTATCATTGCACGTGGTTTGCTGAATTTGAATGATTTGTTTCACCTTGGACTTTCGAAGTGCGTTCCTGTGGTTTTTGTTTAACCTGATTTGATTATCAGACATACAGAGAGCTTTTCGTTCGGGACCTATGCACCCTCAACCTCGGGTGCGTGTGTATGAGTGGTTAATTGTGAATTTGTTCTTAGATGGAATTTTATACTACACTTGAATATGATAAGTTGCAATTGGAGTTTTGTTAGTCAACTATGATGGACTCTTGCATTTTCTTGTATTAATGGGTTGTGGGTTGATGTTAGAGTTTGAAAATGATATTCAGACCCAACCTGTCATCTGAATGTTGATATTATGGGGTTTTTGCTCGTTGACATACTTTTCTTTTTGGTCTTGGGTCATTGAAATAATTTATGTTGTGTTAAGTATTATGTCTGCATGTTGTTTCACTTGTCTGTAATAACAAATAAAAATAGGTGCTTGAAGCGTCATTAAATACTCTCTTTAGATTATACTAAGATATTAAAGGATATTTATATTTTTTTCAAATACACTACTAGTTTCACTACTAAAATCAATTGTTATGATTGTTCCACGTATACAAGAGCATAAAATACTCTCTCATTTACTAGTTAGAATTTACCATAAAAATATTAGTATCTTCTGTAAACTGTTCTGCTGTTGAAGTTGATTGGATAGTTCCAAGTTATTAGTGATTACTAACATTCTGTTGATTTTGAACTGGTTTAAACTGGAAATGAGTTTTACAAGTACCCTACTGGAAATTCATTTATATGATTGGTCATCTTTGTTTATATTTGATACGTTGGCTGTTGCTCTGTTACATGAATATAGATTTTTCATCCATTCTTCCTTTTTGTTTTTTCTTCTTTCTCTTGCAATTTCCTTTCCAATTTGCTGATTTTGAATAATTTCTTTTTACTTACTAATTTATGAACAGATTTTGTGTTTGCAAGGATCTGCTGATGGACCAGAACAGTATGTTCCTGTGATCTCTACATTTATTATTTAATTTTTGCATTGACCTTTCACTTCAAATCACACTTTCCATCCTTTTCAGGTATGTTGCAATTATGAATGCAATATTCTCAGCTCAGCGTTCTACAGTACATACACAGTCTTCACTTTACTTTTCTTTCTTTGTTCCTTGTGATTGGTTTCAACTTTGGCCTTTTTCTTTTGTACACTGGCTACACACTGTCCAGTAGTTAGACATTTTTCTGCAAAATATTTATATAGCTAACATCTAAAGATTACCTGTGTTTTTATGTGTGAGTGTGACTATTATTTTCATGATGCAGGTTCCTATAGATTCTTGTTATATTGGTTTGAACAATTCTGCATTCCTCCAGCAGGTAGTTAAACAGACACACACACACATACATGTTGAATGAGTTTGTGTTGCTATTGCAGAATGTTATATTGACTCGTGTCATTTCTTGTTGTGATATGAAATTATGAATAACAGGCTTCATATATCACTGGTGGCATATATTACAAGCCTCCACAATTGGATGGGCTTTTTCAATATCTTTCAGTAAGATTGTATTTTAATTGTCTGTTTTTAAGCATTGGTGTGACCTGTAATATAGTCTATTTTTTCGCTTGTACAGTCAGTGGTCTTTGTCTGGTTTTTATTATCTGGAAAGCCAATGCCACCAAATAGGTTGTATTTAGTGGCTTCGCCCCCCTCCCCCAAAATCCCAAACTCATCTTTTGTTTTGTTTGCTTGATGCCAAACCCCATAATATCAAACAATTTTGTTTTTCTATTACTTGGATGTGGGATTAGTGTTCTTTCTTTCATGGAAGCACTTCAAGATGACTTGGTACTTGATATCGTATGAGACAAACTACTTGCTAGTGATCAAATCCTTTTTGAGTCAACAAAAAATGTCAGAAAAATCTTCTGAAATCATGTAGTTTGGTCCAATTTGGGTTCTTTATTTATTGACTACTATGTAGTTCCTAAAACAGAATGAAACAATTTACTACTTTTTTTTCTTCTAAAGAAACAATTCAACCAAATAATTTAGTAAAAGTGAAAGACTAATGTAATAACTCATTACATTACGTACTAGTTGTGAGTAAGGCATGATCTATGACCTTTGAAGAGTTCTATCAAGATTTTGAGAGAAAGAATGACAAAAGACAGATATAAGCTTGCCAAAAATAGGAAAAGAAAATTTAAAAAATTGGATTACGTTATATATATTAAAGATGATCTAAGACCTTTGAGAAGTTCTATTAAGATTTTGAGACATAGAATGCAAAGAGAGATATATAAGCTTGCCAAAAATAGGGAAAGAAAATAAAAAAAAATTGGATTGAGTTATATATATTAAAAATGAAGAAGGAAATTCTTTATTACAGATCAAGATATTAAAGATAGATGAAAAAATTATTTTTATAAACTTTTTAATGATGGGTAAGGAATAGATAGAAGCACTGAAAAGTTAAAGGAATGAACTAAATTTGGTATACTATCACAAGATTTGAGTTGGAGAAGTAAAAGAAATCTTCAGCAAATGAATAACAACAAAATAATCAGCTCTTATGGTATCCTTATTGAAGTTTGAAAATGTACAAGAAAATAAGAGAGACCTAAAGAACTTAAAAGCGGAAATTATTAGAAAATATCTGCTGAAAAATAATATTAAACAGATAATTTGATTTTTAATTGCGTTTAATAGTGTCGTATGATTCATGTACCTTATCCGAACTAGTAGGATAAGATTTGGTTATTTTAGTAACTTTTATGATTGGCCTTTGACAAAGGAATAGACAAATTATGAGTTTTTTCAATAGTCAGGTTTGGGTTATTTGTATTTATCAGATTTTTTTGTACTCAGGTTCAGGTTATTTGTATTTTTAATTTTACGTTTGACAATAATCTATCCTTGTTTTCCCAGACAGTGTTTGCAACTGATTTGCATTCTCGTGCATTTTTACGACTTCCTAAATCAGTGGGTGTAGACTTTCGTGCATCGTAAGTTGTTCCTTTCCTGTTGATCTTTTCTTGCTTTAGATTCTTGTTCTTTTCTTTTCCCTCTCTATTTCTCCGCCCTCATATAAAACTACAAACATTTGGACTGCAACCTATCTATTATCATACTTCTTTTTTTTTCTCCAGCTTTTTTCTTCCCTTTTTAATTTGTGCTGGTTTGAAGATACACAGCTTTTATGGCTCTGTTCTCTGTATTGCTTCTGTATGGAGGGAGACTTCAAATTATATTTAACAAGATAAAATGACATTTTTCTAGGTAACCCATGGTTGACCGATGTGAAATATATTTATCCCCGTGCATTATTGAGCTATCATTCTTGGTCCATGTTTCATCAACCACAATTTATGCAGTCAGTAACCCAACTTTTAAAGCTTAGATTCACTGAATTTAGGAACATTATTACCTGAGTAACACTTTCAGATATGTCCTCCGTATACTATAATGTCAATTAAATGAATCAGACTGAGTATTGAAGTATTGAATTCTTTTTGAAATGGATGATATCGGTAATGTAATGTTAGCAGACTTGTACAGGTTCTGTGATGTAAAACTCTTTGTGCTGAAAATTTTCTTCTGTTTGCAATAGATATTATGAGACCTGCTCCTAGATTGTTGTATGAAATGTGCAGGTGTTTTTGCCACAAGCAAACAATTGACATGGGCTATGTATGTTCTGTATGCTTATCCATATTCTGCGAGCATCATGATAAGTGTTCAACCTGTGGGTAAGTGTTTATTTCCCTAACTTGGCCATTTGTTGTTCTGTTTCCATTAGCTTCTGCGGATATGTTACTTGAAATGAGTGTAAATGTCCATCTTTTAGTTCGCAAATAGTTGGAAATAGTTCAATTTTTACAGAAATCTTCCCCTTTCAATTGTATGGTTTATTAGTCTACTTTAGACTACTATTACCCTTTTTTTAATAATTTGATACAATTAACAATGTTTCTCTCGTAGCTGAATTTTATAGCCATAGGTGAAAGATACTGTACCTAATTTGGGGGTTAGCATGTAAAGAAGAAAATAGACTAGATGAGGAAGGGAATGCAAACTGATTAAGATGAAGTTTTCAACCCTGTCTTTGGACGCATGTCTTGGTGGCACTTGATTTTCTTCCTTTCTAAGTTTGTCAGTGTTTTGTCAAATATAGATTGGGTATGCAATGTGCGCATTACTTTTAATCTCTCAAACAAATCTTACATATAGTATTGTCTATGTGAGAATTGAAATGAAAATTCTTGCTATTGACCTTTGAGAATCACCACCTTGAGAGTTTCAAGGGAGAAATGAATCCTCGATGTATTTTAAATGAGTATATAAAAAAGACTAGTGAAAAGCAGACCTGCAATATATGATGAATCTATTGCATCTTCGGTAATTTGAAAATAGAATAGAAATTCCGTCAATCTTTAGTTGAAGTTTCGCATTTTGCCACTTTAGAGTGTCAAGTAAATTAGAGAAGCACAAATGTGATGCATATTGGATGGAAACGTGAGTGACCATCCTATGATTGGCCTCGGCCATTGAGAATGGTCTATTATCGATACCTTAGTTGTTTAATGGAAACTTGGTCTGTTATGCTGCATTGTACCTCCTGATAAATATTATGTACTAAGCCCAAAATAATATGGTGACCTTTTCATGGTTATTTTGTGTCTTTGCACATTCTGTAGGTCTGTATTTGGCCAGGCTCAACCTGATGTTGCCTCAGCAGCCGACAGAAAAAGAAAGGCTTGATACATTATTTTGTGTCTGAACACGTAACATATTTTGTCACATCCATCGAGAGCTGATCGATTGAAGTTTTCTTCATGTACATGTAGCATAATGAAATTTTGGCGTCAAATTGCTTTTTCCTCTGTTTTGGTGGGAAACTGAAGTTTGTTACGGAGATTATTGTATGTCTACAGAAGTTAGCATCGATCTGGATAATTAATTGGTTAGTGGGATCTCTCTGTACGGGGGGCTGCGTAAAGGCTTTTTATCTGAAATGTTACATTCCTTTTGAAGCTATGAACATTATGTTCACATAGTCGGCTGAGCTTAAATGTGCTTTTAGTAATTTTCTTGAAATACAAATCTTAAATGCGCTTTTAGTTTTTCTTTTTCTAATTAGCATCATAAAGGTCAGTATTGAAAATTAACATTTATTTTTGGGATAAAATTTGAATTGATTAAAAATATAAAACTACATTAAAAATTTTCATCTACGTCGTCTTATCCTTTCTTTAATGGGGCTTGACTGTTTGTTACTTATCATGAATTTTTATGTCAGGGAAAGCCCAAAATATTGGTTCTATTAAAAAGACAATGAAATAAACGAGGGACTTGTTCTTTGCAATTTTTTTTTCTTTTTACAAATTTTTATGATTTTTTCTTAAAATGTTTTTAACAATAATTTAATTTATTTTTAAGTTTTTTTTTTGTTGAATAGTCGTCTTTTTAAAACTTTAGGTTGTATTTGGATAGCATATTTTATAATTTCCACGATTCATGTACCTGAATAGTAAAAAAGGTAATTTTAAAACATTACAGAATTTTAACTAGAATAATTTATTTTAAATAAAAATAAATTTAAATGACTTGTTTTTAGAGAATTTTAGCACTCTCATTATTACTTTCATATGTTTTAAAATTTTAAAATCTTTTGTCTAAACACAACTTTACCCTTCATTTCTAAAGCATTTTTTTCTTCTTTTTATTACTCTAAATTTTATTGTTCTTTCATCACTATATTCTTTGAGTGTATTTCAAACATGTTATTCATTATGTTCTTTGTTTTGAATGTATTATATAATGATTGATTTATGGTAAAGAATATGATATCTTTGTTGAATTTTGTTGAACTATCAATATGACAAATTTTTAGAAATAAATGTTTTACACTTATAAAGAAATAAGTGTTCAAAATTATATTTTTACAATTTTATAAATTAATTATTGGAACTATTAATTTTTAAAATTAAGATATTACACTTTCAAAATTGATTTTCTATAATTAAGATTTTACATTTTCAGAAATTATTTTTAGATTAATTTTTTACACTTTTATAAATTAATTTATGAGATTATTAACCATTTTCAAAAATAATTTTTTGAAATTAGGATTTTGCATTTTCAGAAATAAAAGAAAATTAATTTCTAAAATACAATATTTTAATTTTAAAAACCTATTTTTGAAAGTGTAAAATCTTAATTTAAAAAAATTATTAAGTTCGTTGATGCATGATAAAAATAATTTCTTTAATTTAGATAATAATTCAATGAGTTTAAGACACATACCATGAAATATTCAAAAATTGAGTTTTTAATAAATATTTAAAATTTTAAAATAGATATATTTTCCAATATACGTGCAAATAAAAATTTGTAGTTATCTTTACAAAACATAAATAAAAAAATTTATAGTTAGATTCAAATTTGTGTCATATCTAAATTATATTTTATGATTTAAAATCGATATTATTAATTTGGTACATATTTTAATTATATATATATATATATTTGTATTTTGAAGAAACATCTAAACGTAAAAAATATTTAAAATTTAGAGAGAAAAGTTTTGACACACAGCTTTTTTTTATTTAAATTATGTGAAATATAAAAAGTTGTTTTTTTAAAGAAAAAAACGAAGTTTTTACATAAAAAATTTAAAAGTAATAAATCTGAGAGTTATAAAAAAAATTAATTGTAAACGCTGGTTTGAAATTATTCCAGCACTTAGCAATGTAAGTATCAATTTATCTATTTTGTTATTTATTAATGAGCTTGTAAGTAATTTGTGTCTTGTATTGTATCGTCTATAAATTAAATAAAAAATGTAAGTATCAATTTATCTATTTTGTTATTTATTAATGAGCTTGTAAGTAATTTGTGTCTTGTATTGTATCATCTTCCTAAATTTTAAAGTACTGTTAAATAAGTATTTACAATTAATTTATGTAAGATTATTCAAATATAAGTAAAAAATAATTGATATTATAAAAACCTTTTTTATTTAATTTATATCAATCTATTAAAAATATAAGAAGAATATGTGTTATATTTTAAAAAAATACATTTGAATTTAAGTCACTTATTTATATATATATATATATATATATATATATATATATACGTATATATACAAGTTTATTTTTTTTCTTTTTATCAAAAAAGCATATTTAACAAATACAAGTACAAACAAATTGAATAATTTTCTCTCTCACGCACGTAGATGACTGGATTTTAAAAATATCTCAAAGATGAAAACATTTGAAATTTGGAGGGAAAATATTTTGACAAATAAAATATTTAAAAATAAATTATACGAGAATGTAAAAAAGTTGACATTTTGAGAAAAGTACAAATTCTAACTTTAAAATATTAAAAGCGATTAACTTAAGAGTTATATTTTTTAAAATAGTAAATTCATGTTTGTTTAAAGAAACAGAAAAAACTGAAAGTAAGTAATTAAAAAAACAAAAATAATGAGGAACGAAACTTATCATATTAAGAATAAGAAAATTGTAATAAATACTATATATTTTTCAATAAATAATATTATATTAAGATGAATTGAGTTTCCAAAAAAAAACATAATTTTATCATAGAAACTGGTAACATAAAAAGAATTGTGAAACGCGTATCCTAACAGAAGAGCATATGTATCCGCAGCGCCCAGCAACAGAGAATTACAGTGTGCGTGAAGAAGTGTACCCTAACACACTCCAATAGCAAAGCACTGCAAATTTTGAGAGTTGAGGAATTGGCAGTGAGAAAGAGGCATGGCAGAAGATAGCGAGGGTAAGAAGGAACAAAATATCGAGTCACAGATTCAAACTGCTATGCGCTCTCGCGTCTCTCACTTCAAAGAACAATCTGAGTACTTTCTCTTTCTCTTCACCTTCTTTCTCTTCTTCTTCGTTTCAACTATTCTTAAGTACCGTTCTTTCTGTTTTGCCTTTCAATGCAGTTCTTTGACATTCGAAGGGGTTCGTCGATTGCTTGAGAAAGACTTGGGGTTGGAGGAATACGCTTTGGATGTGCACAAGAGATTTATCAAACAATGTTTGCTCAAGGTAATTAATTCAAACCCCTTATTTCAACCTAAAATGCGTAAATGCTATGCACTAGGGATTCAAACCTCTTTTGCATAAATTACTCGATTTGTTAAATCTTATGGATCAAAACACCTGTTCTATATGCATTTGTAGCTGACTAAATTGATTGTTAATCACCATACAAAGCATGACTCTACTTTTACTTAGATTTTAGGAGTCACGGTTGTTCTTGTTATTTAACCTGGAGCTCAATGTGTTATGTCTAACCAGAGTTTTTATTGGTTTAAGTATAATGGACGAGTGTATGGTGTTGACTGGATTATTTACTATTGCTGTGGCTAACCACTAGTGATGAGATAACAATTTGCTTTATAATATAGTTGTATTGCATCTGATTTTATTTCTGAATTCTAATGTCATGAAGAATGCCTGTATTTTTTTTCTTATGTCTGTATATCAATGTGTATGTTTCTTCTACCTCATTGGTGGTAGTGCTTAGAAGGGGTTGGTGATGATGATGCCCCAAAGATATCAGGGAAGGGAGGGGAAAAAGGTGCAGATGCACAAGAAGAGGAAGAAGGACTGAAAGAGGAACACCAATCAAAAGATGCGAAGGATATTTGCCCTGAAGATGAGGAGAAAATGGAAGACTCTCCAGTATTAGGTCTTCTAAAAGAACAAAAAGGAGTTAAACTTGAAACGAAAGACGATAAAGGCAATGGAAAGAAAGTAGTTCCAAGTGAGGCCCTAATTAAGAAAGCTGTTAGAAAAAGATCTTCTTACATCAAGACTAATGCAGAGTATGCTGCTGATTCTCAGTTATTTGTCATTCTGATCTATTGTTTTAAGACAGTGCACATATTCTTCCTGTCCTTACCTCTGATTAATGTATTCACATCAACTTATTCTTTGGCTATAATTCTTAAGGTATGACATGGGTTACTTTTCACTCGTTTCAGGAAAATCACTATGGCTGGTCTTCGTCGACTATTGGAAGGAGATCTTAAACTCAATAAGTTTACTCTTGATCCCTATAAGAAGTTTATAACTCAACAGCTTGATGAGGTGAGTGAAAAATCTGTCCATTAAGTGTCATTGATGCCCATAAGAAGCACAACAATACACTATCTGATGCTTAGCATGTCTTCACTAAATTTGAAGGTATTAGCATCTTCTGAAGTTTTGGAACCTGCAAACAATACCAAGAAAATTGTTAAGAAGAAACCTGAAACCAAAGTAACTAAAAAGGTCAGCAGTGAAGAGAACAGTGATACTTCAGATAAGGACTCTGACGAGGAAGAGAGTCAGGAAGATGAAGTTAAACCTAAAAAAAAAAGTGTTCCGAAAGGCAAGATGCAGACTTCTGTCAGACCCCAAAAGCGTAAAGTTGAGGAGACCAATCTATCAAGTAAGAAAAGGGTCAAGCCTGCTAAAGAAGTCTCAGAAGACAATAGTGATGCAGAAGATAATGGGAAAAACTCTGAAGATGATCAGTCTCATTCATCACCAGAGAAACTTTCCAAGGTAATTCTAAATTTATAGATCATTATTTGCTGATTGCAAATAGGAATGCTTAGTATAAGTTGAAAAGTTAAGGCCATAGCCATAGCTGTTGAACAATTACCATCTTTTAGTTGACTGACAATCCTTTATATTATAAAATAACTGGTTGTTGTCCTTCTGTGTGAATTCCTGTAAAGAGTCCTCTAAATTCTTTGTTTTGTTAATTTCTACAAGTTAGGTGCATGAAGTATATTTTATTGGAATCATATCTTTCTTTTTTCCCCTTAACTACAGAAGAAGGAAGTTTCAACTCCTGTGTATGGTAAACGTGTGGAGCACTTAAAGTCTGTTATTAAAGCATGTGGAATGAGGTAATTTTCCTTTTTTTGGATTCCTTTTTATGATCCTTGATCTTTGTTCATGATGATAGTTTGATATTATATATTTCTATCACAGTGTTCCTCCCTCAATTTACAAAAAGGTCAAGCAAGTGTCTGAAAACAAACGGGAAGGGCAACTAATTAAGGAGTTGGAGGACATACTGTCTAGAGAAGGATTGTCTTCAAATCCATCTGAAAAGGGTGAGCTCGTGTTGATCTGTTTTCCCTCATTCTTGGATGTCAGCTGCAATATTTTCATCCTGATTGAATGAAATTTGTATTCCTTTGTCAAAGGATCCCCTGTAGCTGTAGTTATCAGCTGTGTGCAATTTTATTCTGTGCAATCCAAACAATTGAAACCGTAGGTAGTTTTATCTTGGTCTTATTTTTCTAATTCTTAATAATTTTTGAGATGCAAGAAACTAAACTAAAACACTTGTGATGTGAGTATAATACAAGTGGAATTAAATTATCCTATAACTTATTCATACTTTGAAATGGATTAATTGTGACATTTAACTTCATTCAGTATGCTTTTGCAGAGTGAAAAGTTAACATCACAAATTGAAAATAATATTTCAACATTTTTATTGATTTACATGTCTTCATAGTAAAAGTATCATTGGAATTGGATACCACTGTTTTAAGTAGTTAAAAGTCTCAGACAACTGTGTCTGTATGGAGGGCAGGTATACTTGTATGGAGAAAGAAAAATATAAGGAGTATTGTTTCTCCTGTAATTATAGTTTGGGAGGTTACTCTATTATCTAAAACAAGAGGAAGGTTATGTAATTTCATTCAACTGCAGTTTAGTTAGTGTAATCTTCGTTGTTTATTCGGTCATTTTAAATGTAATGTCTACATTGAGCTGCTGATGCGAGTGCCTCTGATTTGATTTCATTCTATTCTGTCATTTTGTTTTATTCCTCCTTTTTCCTTTTTTCTCATGTTTTCTTAATTACCCAGAAATTAAGGAAGTAAAACGGAAGAAGGCAAGAGCCAAAGAACTTGAGGGTATTGATGTAAGCAATATTGTTTCAAGTTCACGTAGAAGGTCAACAAATAGTTTTGCAGCTCCTCCACCTCCAAAGCCGAAGGTTCCAGTTGAAACTAGTGGCAACGGTGAAGGGAGTGATAATGAAAATGCAGGTGAAGATAATGATAATGAAGAGGATGAAGAAGAGGATAGCAGTGATGATGATGGAAGTCAGAGTGAAGAATTTAACGATGGTATGTCCATTTAAAATACGTGAAGATTTTGCTGTTTTCATTTTGTTGGTCATATCGGTGTGTTCTTTAGCTTTTTGCTGTGGTTAAGCAGTTTGTTGTTAATAATAATTAACTGCTTTGATAGAGTTGGAGCATCATGCATAGTAAGAACTCGGACCTGATTGTCCTATCAAATGATATCAACATCTTATAGCATTGGGGCAAGCCCTTGTATTTTAAGTTCCATTTTGTATCCATCTGCTGTTAACAATAATATTTAGGGTACCTTTGGGTATGTACCTTAATTAAGTTATTGAAATAAGTTAAAAAGAGTTTACTTTGATACGTTATATTAAGAAACTTATTGACATGTGATAGAGTTTATAAAAATTATAAGTTATTTTCATAAGGTATCTCTTCCAAACGCCCCTTTAAAATATCTGGATATTAGTTGTTAGTGTATTTCAACAAGGTCCGTGTATTCTAGGACCCTTTGATTGAGTAAGGTCTTAATTATTTGGTAACCTGAGTTTTGAATATGCTAAACACAACACAGACAATGTCATCTAATTACAGCACAGCTGAAGAATCTTTAATCTAAAGAGTTACTCTTGGAAAGTAAAGAATCTTTGCAATCCCCTTCCCCCGGATTTTCCAGTATTGATGTTCTTGCATTTCATATTTCTACCCCCCCCCCCCCCCAAATTTCCTCCATAGTTATCTTTTAAGTTTTGATTATTTCTTTATATAATAAAGAGGAAAAGGTGATCTGGCTTTAGTACAGAGCTTATGAAGCATTTTTAGGAAGACTTGTTAAACTGTCTAGTGCATTATCTTCTCTATGGCAACAATGTGCACGTGTTACTTCTTTTTTCGCTTTTAGGGAATTGGTTGACCTTACCTTCCATTATGTATGCAGATGAAGAGGACAGTGATTGAACTCGGGCAGATTCCACAATAATTAAGGCGAATTTTTTCACAATTAAGTTTGGTGGTGATGTATAATGTAATGTATTGTAATGTGTTTTCTCTTTTACTTTTGTATCTTCTATTTTTCCAAATTTTTACCTGTGGAAATGGCTAGTAGTACTTGTTGCTAATTGCAGTAGTATTAATTTAGTTTCTTCCTTGGTCCATTGATTGAAACTTCCTCTTTAACCCGCTTTGTCTAAATTTAGTATATTCTTTCCCCTAAGGAAACGCGTTTACCGTTAGACTGCCTCATCTGAATCGTAAGCATAGTCGTCTATTGAAATTTATGTTAAAGTTTAAGTTTTGTTAGCGTATAACTCGCTTGCTTATATGTCTGTCCTACACTAACGTAAACGTGAAATGAAATTGAATTATTTAAGGCGTTAGATTAGTTTTAAACGGCGTGCATATAGTCTTGCAAACCTCTATTCATTTATTAAAAAAGAAAACTTGGTGCTGTTTTGTATGTATTCTTAGTATTGTTTCGCAATTAGAATTACAGTTTTATTTTAATAAAATATTTTTATTTAATATTGTTGCATATTATTGAGGTGAAACTTTCAGTTTAATTGACAAACAGTACCAAAAGTCTTTAAGCAAGTAAACCTAAGTCTTATCCTTTATCAAAAGGGTTTTTATTATATTTTTTATATACTATTTTTATTAATATGTATCAATTATGTTTTATATTATTAATTATTAGATACAATTTGAGATCATAAATTTAATTTAAATAATTAAAAAATAAGAATTAATCATGAATAATAGATTGAATTGTACTTACATAATTAAAATATGAAGATGAAAAGTATAATTAAAATACGTTTATTTCCTCTTTGGAAAATACAATTGTACATAGAATTGCCGGGTAATGGGAAGTGTTAGCAGCGATCAACCTTACTGCTCTTCCTTATGTGCCCAAGATTCGTTTTTGAACGTCCTATTGGTCGGATTCGATTTTGGGTTGTCATTAAAAAAAATCAGCGTAAGATTGACCTATCTATCTGCATTAGGCTTAAAAATAAATTTATTACCGGGACACAAAAAAATTGGTATCATAGTTTTCATTTAAATATGTTCATTGTTAGATAATTTCAGGTTTTTGGCGCGTATTTGATTGAGTAAGTTGATATATCTATGGAGCTGTCGTCACTAGTTGACGTCATTATTAGAAATGTACTTCAACGACGCCTCCCATAAAAATTTTAGTGTGTATTTCACGAATTGATGACATGATAATTTCAGCTCGTAAGATAATAAGAATGGTAGCTGTTTTTCATGGTTAGAGTAAATACTTCTCCTTGTGCGGTCACTTCTGGCAAACAGCAAAGATCCACAAAAGAAAAATGATTTTGTTTTGTGTATTTTGGGGGAATTGATTTTTAGTAGATAGTAGACAGAGGTGATCTGACATTGAGAGGTTGACGCCACGTGGATTGCCCTCCATGAAACCAAGGTGTCATCGAAGTGAAACCCACCTTTCCAAATCAGACAACCATACTCCAAATAACCTACGTCACCGTTTTTTTTTTTTAATTTCTTTCGTTACTAGTGTTTTTTAAAGTAATGCTATCGTGTTTACTAAAATTTATTAAAAATTATAAAAATTATGTGAATTTTTTATCTCTCTTAAATTAATATTTTTTAATTTTTTTTTTATACATTTTAACTAATAATACAAAATATATTAAAAAATTGACTGAGAGTGTCTTGCTGACATTTTTTTGTATCTATTGTTACTTCAATTTGATTGTGTTGTTATTTGATATTAGTGTAAGAACCGACCTATGTTTTGGCAAATTCTAGGGTCCCTCTCCGTAAGTTTTGTTTTTGTCAACACTCTCCATAACTGAGCCCGAATAAATAATATGCCGATTAGTACCCAGTGAGGTTGGGCTTGGTGGGCGGGATAGGATATACAAAAAGAAAATGTAGTTTTTAAAAGGCTACATGTTGACCAAAAAAGAAAAATAAAAAGGATATATTGAAATGATTAAAAAAATCAGTATATTGTATTTGTATTTGAATGATCTATTTTATGTCAACCAAAACTAATTTTCATGAATTTAAATTATAACTCCTTGGAAGAGGAAATGAAAATAATAATTTATTTATTTATTCTTTTGCATTTCAGAAGCATAAAAACAAAGGCAAGAATAAAAGAATCACTAAAACAAAAATCGAATTTATTAAAGATTTATCATTTTGGTTTCTCCTCATTACTTATTATTATGAATTATTTTCTAACAAAAATTATACTATTAGTATGTAAGTTAAACTGACGATAGAATGTATTATACTAATATAATGGAGTGATTTTATAAATTAGTATTTTATATTAAAAAATTATTTATTAATAAAATGTATATCTCTTTGTATATAAAATATGAATTCTTCTTATTCAATGAGAGTGTTTTAAAATGTTATTTTGAATAAAAATATTTTTAGTAGAGGTAACAATTCAATTCATTTATTCATTAATTATCTAATTTATCTAGGAATAAATTCAACCAAGCTATTTAATTTAATTGCTACTTGTTATTAGATGACTAGTCAACCATCTAAAGTATTTTAAATCAGTTAGATTAAGAAGTTTGGTCTGTTAAAAAGTTGACAAAATGAATTGTTCAAATGAGTCAAGCTAGATTTGTCTGATAAAATATAGGGCCTGTATGAATTAAATTAAGCCCTTTTTAATCTGATTTGATCAAACTCAACAGCGACTAAAGTCACAAAAAAAATTGAACTTTGTCTATTTTGAGTATATTTTTATGAATTTAAATTAGATTTGAACTTTTTTACCTTAACTTGCTAAAGTCTGTTGCAAGAAACAAGTTGATCCAAATAATCTCAGTACCATTTGCCGACTTTAATTTATTAGTTGGACATACGTATTTAAAAGATGGATAGTAAAATTTATAATATAGAATATGCATTAATATTAAATTTATTTTGTAAAAATATTTTTAAAAATAGAATATATTTTTAACAGATGAGTTAGAAATTCATTAAAAAATGAATGGATGAATTAGATGGTTTATTTTATTAAATAGGTTATGGATGAATTGAAAATTTTAACACGTTTTTAATAGATTAAAATAGCCTAATGGTTAGAATAAAAATATATATTATGGATATATTTTTTTCTATCCATTATAATTTGGTAGATAATTTATCCAATCTATGTATTTCACATCTCTAATTTTTAAGAGTTAGTTTTTCTTATGATCATGCTATGAAACTTTTATTGCTACGGGTACTTATTTTTCAATCCCATTTTCATTGAAAATTTTCATAATTTATTTTTAAATTGTGAAAAATTATATTTCTTTAATTTATTCTTATTTAACATGATAAACTAGTTAATATTAATAATTAAACTATTTATGTTATATAAAACATTTTTGTAAAAATTATTTTAATTTAATAATACTTTGTAGCTATTATTAATATAAACATATAATGTCTACATTGAGAGTCAGGTTTCTACCAATAAAATTGTACCAAAAGCTGTCTCTGTGTGTGTCTAAATTATTCAAATAAATTGAACAATATGCAGTGACATTATTTGGTGCTTCGATTGCAATGCTACACATGCAATATTAGCAGTTATATCAATTGCTTTTCCGGTTAAGTTTTTTTTAAAATTTGATTATAATTCATTTATCAGTTGAGTTAATATCTTTTTTTCATTGGTAGAATACTAAAACATAGTGCAAAAAATTGATAGTAATTTCAAATGCAAGAGTCAAATCCATTGAAAGAAATGTGAAACAATTACACTCCAAGAATCAAATCCACTGAAATCAGTGATTAATTGCAAACCGTTACCTTCGAAAATTTCAGCTTAGCACTAAAAGTGACCTCTCTATGTAGGCTACTTTTGAGCAATCATCTTTACCCAATACTGGTATTGAGCTTCAAGAGATAATTAGAGATTAAAATGTTAAAACAAAGAAGCAAAGATTAAAGTAGAGTGAATAAATAAGAGGGATGTGAAAAAATAAAAAATGTAAAGAGAAACTGACCGAAAGATAGTTCACTATATATGCGAAGACTGATAACAAGAGAGAATCAAACGTACACAGAAGAGTCTATTTATACCATAACATAATATGATAGAAAAATAATTTTTATTATTCAATAAACACGAACCAGTATTTATACTAGAGAAATTAAAATTTTTATCAGTAACAAATTAATTAAATACTAATTGACTAACTAAACTATAATTAATTTACATCTAAGTTAAATTTATGTAGTTGCCAGTTAGCCTAAGTTTTCTGGTGACATATATCACTTAAATTTATTTTCGTTGGTTGTTATTGAATTCGTTTGATTAAAAAGGATTAATTAACTAAAATAATTAGGAGTGAATTTAAAATTAGATATTGGATTGAAATTAAACCAAGTTACATGTGAAGAATTGGGTAATCAATGTCTTGACATCTTCCAATATCTTAAAATAATAAAAAAAACCAAATCACATCTTGCGCATGGCATGAATATTAAACGCAAGTGTTTGCTTTTAAATCAATATAACTACTTTTTAAAAGTTATCATTTCTTTTAAACGAAACTTTCAAAGTGTGATAAACTTTTGAAAATTTAAACTATTCTCGTTTTTCTTTCTTTCCTTTTCAGCAGTGGAAATGTAAGTATTTATCCAAATGTAAAATATCTAATTTTTATTTTAATGTGGCATCTATTATTTTAGTAACTTCGTGGCTAACTTTGGGACGGATGAAGTTAAATGTAAACGTGTGTTGATTAGCAAACTATTATATACTAAATAATGTACGTAATGCCCTTTTTTTTTTCGTACAAACATAGCAAACCTTAAAAAGAATAGATGTCGATATTCATTTGAATGTGGCTCTGCCACTGAATAAAAAGCAGAGTTTTTTGGGTGCACTGGATAAAAGCTTATGCATTATATAACAAAATAATTATAAAGTAGGAAAAAGAAAAAAAAAAATGAGAGCTTTTTGGTGTATATAAAAAACTTAATTAATTAAACTTGTAAGAAATGTGTGATGTGATTTTAACTTTTGAGAATTGTTTTGCTAAGCACCATATAGAATACGTGCCATAAAACACAAACTTTATGACAAATAACGTAACACACAAACACACGCTCAATAATGTTATGTTTCATTTCAG